GATGACGATTGCTTGTGTTGCGATCGAAACGTCGTGGTTTTTTGTTATTTTCTTTGAACCTATCTACGTGACTTTACCAAAAGACCCAAGAATATATGTATAATCAGTTTGAATGTCATGGGATGATTTCATGTCAGAGGGCATGGTACAGTGCGACCTTTCCTTGTGTAAAGAATAAAAAGGACCCTTGCATCGCATTTTCAGAAGTCGTTTTGAAAGTGCCACTGCTCTGAATACTCCTCGAAGAGGATTCTTACTGCTAGGAACCTCCTGGTTACACCAGCCCACAGGGGATGATTGTGTCCGTCCGTCCGTCGTGCATTCAAAAATGGAAGGGGTGGGGCTGGGTTGAGAGGGGCTGGGTGGGGAGGGGAGGGTGGGGAGGGGGGTGGGAGGGGAGGGGCTGGGTGGGGAGGAGAGGGTGGGGAGGGGGGTGGGAGGGGAGGGGCTGGGTGGGGAGGGGAGGGTGGGGAGGGGCTGGTCACCCCGTGGTGCCCTTATAAAACTCAACGTTTAACCTACTCACGCCAGCTTGTGCCCGTCCTCACAGTCGGCCATATTTGCGGAATACACCACGCCGCCGTTGACCCTGGCCATTGACCGGGCAACCCAACGTTCCTACCAGCTCCCTCCGCAGGAATGTGTTAATCTCGTGGCTCGATACTGGTAAGATGGCTGGGATGAAGTACGTGAAGGGGGGAAAGAACAAAAGTAAAAACAGATGCTGGCATGTCCCTACGGCATCATTCTCCTGAGTGCCCTCATTCTCAGCGAAATACGAGGTATCTCTGGCTGTGTGCAATGCACAATCACCTCCATCACTGCAGAAACATTTCACATTTGAAAATAATTCCTGTTACGAGACAACAATCATACGCAGTGTCATGGTCAGATTGTTTCAGTGATCCATATAACCGAGTTAATTGAACCTTGTTCTTGATTAATTGTGACATTTACACTCCCTCCGGCCACGTGACGTAAACATTTCATGACATTTTACATTAAGGGCCTTCTTGCATTTTTCTTGCAATTGCTGTAGGCAGTAAAACAAAAGGCTTAATTGGGTCGCATGTACTGTGTTAAATATATTGCATTATTTCTGCGAGCAAACCACAATTGCTTCAGCACCATTCCATCAATAATGGACGGCAAACTATTTCCTTCCAACAAAATTAACATTTAGTCCGTTACAAGTTGAACGGCAGCCCTGATGCACGTGCTTCACTCGCATTCACCAGCGTGGGCACAGCTCCAATGCGTTGCCGAGGGGGCATGCAATGGTACACCTCTTCCACGACGAGATGAATTGAGTCGATCTGGGATCACGATTCGAGAGTAGAGTGTGACCACGAAATTCCGAGCTAATCATGGGTGTTGTGACCCAGAATATATATTTTCTTTCCATAAACAGACCGTACAGCACATTTATCTAACTTACAATCTGTTATTTATATTGCCTTCTTACGTTGTGAAAATACAAACTGCGTATAAAATCACGGTAAGGAAGACGGACGGAGCCACCGAAAATCAGAAGACAATTTTGGAGCAGTCCAATGCTGCAGCAGTGTGTGAGTTACTCTACAGCACGCTACTGAACTGGGACTGCCTGGCGCATAATGGTTCTGCGCAGCTCACAAGGCGACATTGCTCGGGTACGCTGACCAACGTTTCAGCTCGAGGAGTGCGATTTTGAATATTTAGGGTGAGTCCCACAACTCGTTATATCTGCCCGCGTTATTTAAAGCAATATTTAGAAGGTGCGTGCACAATCTGGAGTGGATGTGGAGGTGGGGGCACGCTCACATGAATCAGGAGCAACACCCGTATTCACACAATTTGCAATCCAATTAATTCTCACGCGCAATATTCGATGCGTGTATAATAAGCGTAAAAAACAATTTATTGCGAATCAATCGTTACCACACCTATTATTACACGCGGAGTTTAGTTTTAACCACACTTTAGCCGAGAATACATTGCCATCCTCCATCACCACCACCACCACCATAGGTGCGGTTGTGTTTGGATGTTGAACTTCTTTCACGCCGTACGCAGCCGACGGTGCTAATCGGAGGTGCGTGTGGTTGAGCGAACTTGAAACCAGGTAAAGGGCCGCCCTGGTCTATTGCGTTTAGTTTGTTGTCATTATCCACCTGCTGATTAGCACGGTTAGTTACGTACGGTGCGAAAGAAGTTAAACGTACAGGGACTCCTCTACTTACGAACATTCGACTTACGAACTTTCAGAGATACAAACAAACCTGTCCGTATGTCCAGTTGCATGTTCGGACAGAAAGTCGTAAGTTCAATCGCCGCGCAATAGATGGCGGTGGTGGCATCTACATCTGCAGAACATGAAGAACCAGTGGCATCGAGACCTATATGAGATTTCCAACTTTTAAATCCATTACCCGTGTATATTGTACATGCCGTACAACATGTTTGGAATCGACAGCAGTTGAACTTACGAACAAACCGACTTACGAACAGACCTCTGGAACCTAACCCGTGCGTAAGTCGAGGAGTCCCTGTCTCTCCAGACATACGTACAGCCAACACGACCGGGGAGACAGCCGCTCGAGGAAGTTGCTGGCCACGCTGCCATCCCACACGCGCACAAGCGCCACCCAGTGGGGGAGGGACGACGACGAGAAGCGCTTTGCCAGTCAGGTCGCCGAGAACACTGCGCTTGCATTACGGTGGTGGTGGTGGTGACGGTGGCGATGGTGGTGGTGATGGTGGTGGTGATTGTGTTGATGGTGTTGATGGTCGTGGTGATAGTGGTGGTGATGGTGGTGATGATGGTGGTGGTGGTGATTGTGTTGATGGTGGTGATGGTGGGGATTGTGTTGATTGTGTTGATGGTGGTGGTGGTGATGGTGGTGGTGATGATCGTGGTGATGGTGGTGGTGATGGTGGTGATGGTGGTGGTGATGGTGGTGTTGATGGTGGTGATGGTGGTGATGGTAGTGGTGATGGTGATGGTGGTGATGGTAGTGGTGATGGTGGTGATGGTGGTGGTGATGGTGGTGTTGATGGTGGTGATGGTGGTGGTGATGGTGGTGATGGTGATGGTGGTGATGGTAGTGGTGATGGTGGTGTTGATGGTGGTGATGGTGGTGGGGGAGCGAGGGAGGGGCGGGCATAAGCAGTAACTTTGCACAACTATTTCTAAACATCGGAATGTAACTGTAATGGTTTAAATATAGTATTAATGTTCACATGCGCTGTATTATTTTATCATATTTATTTTAAGGGTGCATTTCATGTGCACTGCCCTCGTACATAGATGGAGGCTTTAACAAGAAACATTTAGACGATTTCCCCCCCCAGTATTTTGTCCAACAAGTGTGTCGTTTTACTACTTATTTTACTCCAAGCAAATACATTTTCGGTTTTAACAGGATATGTGTGTGGGGGAGGTTTTCCTCCAAACAGTAACCACACTCTCCAAAAAAAATCCATTAAAAACATTGCTTGGACTCTCCGCAATGTTTGTTACTTTCAGAATCGATGCATAACATGTATTTCAGAAAAAAAAATAAGTTACAAAAATAACAGGTTTTTTAAAATTTGCATTCACGTCGTTTACCCTATTATTACGCTGTGGGTGTGTGCAAGTCCACATCGCTGACTGCCACCACATAAATTGTTTATGTATCACTGTCAACAAATCATCCGTTGAGTAAGAAATTACCCCTGAGTAAAATCTGCAGCATGCGCCTTCCTTTAAAATGTAACAAAAAAGCGTTGCCACTCCGGCTACAACACCTGCACACGTAAGCACGTGCACACGTTTTCCATGCAAGAGCCAATCTGTTCAAAAACCCAGTACAAGTATTCTCCGTGATGCATTCACTCACGCCCGTGTGTGGCAATGACAACACTAAAGAGCACAACAGTCATTTATTCAAAGTCGTATTTCAACTACAGCACGGCTAAGTAGCACGGTGGTCTGCGTACGGAAGAAGTTCAACGTTCATACGTAGTGCATACATTAAGAGGCGACAGCATTCAAGTTACGTGTGAAAAGTATATTTAAATATAAAACATGTGGGAGCCAGGTGGCTCCGAGCTCTAGAGCACCGAGCTGGCAACGATGACATATCCTGGGTTTGAATCTGGGCAGCGAACCATGATTAAACTGGGCTCTCCGGTGTAGCGAGTTCATGGGTCTCAGCTCAGTCACCAATGACTGCACACACAAAAAAACACATATTAGATTTTGCCCTTGGTTACATCTCAGCTCTGCGACTGAAAACGTTTTTATTGGTTTCATATCACGGGACAATCTCATAGTAGAGCATGGAGGAAAGTGCGATTCTTCATGTGTTGAGGATTAAAAAAAGACTACTTGAAAGATTTTCACAAGTCATTTGAAAATATATCTTGCAAACCATCTTCTGACGCACGGGTTAAACACTCTGCAGGATTTCCAAATGGTTTCATGTCAAGACATTGCACCGATAGAGAAAGTTAAATAAAATGCGGGGGGGGGGGGGGGAGTGGGTGAACGCACCAACAGAGTAAAATAGATGCTGGTGTCTCCCTGTACTCCCATCCCATCTTAACAAACACGCACGCACTGGTGAATAAGTGAATAATGACCAAACAGCATCCATGACTCGCGCAGCATGGGAGGCTCTCAAACCAGCAGTGGACTAACGCAGGCTGTAAACCTACCGGCGTTCCTGCGGTATTCTTACTTAGAGTACTCCCATTCTCATCCAACATCAATTGCCTGCCCGCTTCCAAAGTACTATCACCTGTACCACTGCGCGCACACACACACACGACAGATTATACTGGTAGGAACCTCCTGGTTACACCAGCCCACAGGGTGTCCGTCGTGCAGGGAGGGGCTGGGTGGGGAGGGAGGGGCGGGGGGGGAGGGGAGAGTGGGGAGGGGCTGGGTGGGGAGTGTGGGTCTGGGTGGGGAGGGTGGGGAGATGCTGGGTGGGGAGGGTGGGGAGGGGCTGGGTGGGGAGGGTGGGGCTGGGTGGGAGGTGGGAGGGGTGGGGCTGGGTGGGGAGGGGCTGGTCACCCCGTGGTGCCCTGATAAAACTCAACGTTTAACCTACTCACGCCGGCTTGTGCCCGCCCTCACAGTCGGGCATATTTGCGGAATACACCACGCCGCCGTTGACCCTGGCCATTGACCGAGCAACCAAACGTTCCTACCAGCTCCCTCTGCAGGAATGTGTTTAATCAATTCCTCTCACGACTCCATAACCGTACGCAGTATCACAATCACATTTTTAAATAATTCAGGTAACAATGAGTGTTTTATACAGTGGCGTCGTTCCTGCCCACTGCATCTCACAATGCTGCACACTGGAGGTTCTCGTGAACCAACAATCTCGTGAACCAACATTTCTTCAGCAACGATATGAAATGTGTAGGAAAAAAATGTCTTTACAAAATATATAAAGAATTGCATCCAGTCCACAATATTGAATGACAGCCCTATCGCAAGCCTTTACAATGTATGCACCACAGCGGGCACAGATGGAACACACTGCCTTAGTAAGAAAAAAAAAAACTATTAATCTCTTCCTCAACTTGATGAATTGGCTCAATTCGCTGTCAGTTGAAGAACATTATTTTTGGCCAATGTGGTGCATGCAGAACCTATTAGCAGGTGCTGGGCTGCCACGAACCAGCTACACGTACGTATGATGTGAAATGCAATCAATTTTACCTTCATCGTACCAGCAGTGTCTCACGTCAGTCAGAGATGAACGGGACACCCACCCTGCAACTGACAGACGTCTCGGCATGGGAAGGCGCTATATAAATATATAAAGACCACGGTCAGCAGGACCACGGGCAAATCTGACAATGCCTGAACCGCCTCCGGACAGGTGTCAGCTGCTGCAAAGCAAACCCTGGGAGGTGGGGCCGTCTTGACCAGGCTCGGAACATAAACTGCGTCTGCGGTGAGGGGCAGACGAAGCCTCCCCGCTCATCCAATCCAGTGTCGTCTGTTAGAGGGGTGCCGTGCCCAGCTGATGATTTAAGCACCATTGCGCGGCACTGTGCTCGTAAAAATGGTCGTCATTTATCGAAGCTGGTATGATGGACACGACAAATTAAGTGTCGGACCAAGTAAAAATACGATGGGTTTTTTTGTGCGGTCGTTGGCGAACAGGCAAAGTCCATCAACTCGCTTTACTTGAGGATCCGGTTTGATCACAGGCGGCTGCCTGGATTCAAACCCAGGATTCTCACCAGCGGAGCACTCTGATCTACGAGCCACCCCTCGAACACGACAAATTCTAGCACGCATAATTTGACGCATGCACGTGCATCATAAGCAAAAGAATACATTTTAATCACGCCTATTCGCGTGAAAATGCGCATGTTTAGGCACATGCGATTAGCACGGTTGGCTACGTACGGCGCGAAAGAAATTCAACTTACGCATTCAAGCGCCTGACTGAGAAGCAGCCCCCTGTGGGTGTTTGGCCATGCCTGCCATCTCACGTGCGAAATCGCCACCCAGTGGGGGGGGGGGGGAAACGTCTTGCCAATCAGGTCGCAGAACACAATGGCGACATTAACCCCCGCCGCTCTGGTCTTCACGCTCGATAGCCTCACAGTGATGACATCACCTTTACTCCTCGATTAAAGATGTAAACGGGAAGTCTTCACAATTCCGGCAAATTTCCTGATGACGCTGGTTGTAATCACCAGCGAAACGTCGTACTAATTGTAAATGTTGTGGGTTGGTTTACTCTCCAACGCACCGGTGTGCTCAAGTAGTAACTAATTAGCACGTTTAGTTCACGTGACAAACCTTACGAATTGGCCGTGTCGGATGGTCGTGGGTTAATGACACATTTATATTTACGCGATCTAATCCAAAAAAAACCTTTATTATGGATATTGGTCATGAAAGCCCACGTGTTAAACAGAAAACAAACCGTTTGCGTTTTGGGGAGAAATACCAGCAACTAAACACAACCAATTCAAAAACATCACAATAATTTAACATATTGCAATGATAAATTAGTTGTATACACACCATCCCTGTATGTAGATGGATGTTTTTAAATGAAGAACAATTTTAAAACGAAGAAAGTCGTTGCCGACAAAGTGTAAGAGAGTGGTTGTTCTCAACCGCCAGGCACTTTGAGCGAGTATTTTAAACCATTCTCCACAAATTTGTGCAATAGCCTCTTTATCACTCCTCTATTGCTACTACGGTGATTACTATACTATTTTTAATTTTACCAGGAAAGGCCCACTGAGCTAAGTAGCTCTTTTTCAGAAGCAACCTGACCACAAATAATAGCTCAATGAAGCGGCTTATCACGTGGACATTTATGGCAGCCACATACACTTACACGCATCTTTCTAAATGTGGAGGGAAAAACCAGAGGGCCCGTAGAAACAGTCCATGTGACCACGGGGAGAACATGCAAACTCCTAATATAGAGGCGTCAGGCAGGATCGAACCGACGACCTCCTGCATACCAGGTGAGGTAGTTAACATCTCCTAGCCACCGTGGGGCCTGAATGTCCACTCGGTCTACCAGACAATTCGTCTGATCCATACTGTATTTCATCACCACGCTGCAGGCTACAACGCTTCTCTTTTTGCTTTTTTCGCCACGCTGCTCTACTTTGGAACTGCCATCGTCTCATTCCCCAAGCTCTTAAAACCTTAATCAATTCAAGAAACGTAGAACTCTTATGGATTACACCTTCAAGAGTGTTCTTTGTTGCTGGCTGCTTGGTTGCTTAGGGCCCGTGCTCAGTCGTCATGATTTAAAACCACGTTTTGCACATGTCAGTACTTTTCCACGACCACGCACCAGTTTCCCTGATCGTAGTAGCTCTCCAGCACTCGCGCGCCGTCCAGCCGAGCGCACAGAGCCTCGAGTTCACCCTCGCGGAACACGTGGTAGTATCGGTGGTAAACGGGCGCCTCCTCGCACGCCCGCTCGGGCGGTCCCGGGGTCTCGCCCTGCCGCCTGTGGTGCCAGGGCACGAGTACGTCCTGCGCACGGAAGGGCGTGCGGTTCGTGTGCACGGGCAGGTGGCCGCGAGTCGGCATCCCCGGATCCCTGCGAGGCTCAGGTGGCACAGGAGCGGGCTCCGCGGGCCGGCTGGACTCAGCGACGTCATCGCATGGGGATTTTACGCCGTTTGTGGGAGTGCAACTCGTCCCTTTCTCGTCGTCCGCCGTCTCCCCGACTCCTACCACAGGCTGCGGCCCAGTGCCGCCTCCCACCGTCTCCCCGTGCTTGGGCTTGAGGTACTTGGATCGCGCTTGGCGGTACTGCTGCTCCAGCGCCCACACGTAAACGAGGGCTCTCCCTCCAGGCCGAAGGATTCGCAGAAGCTCCCGCAAGGCTTCAAGTCTTCGATCCTACAGAGGGGCATGACAACAAAGACGCCCCCCGGTGAGTCCTATAGAGAGCAGAGGCAAGGGATGTCATCGAGCATTTGTTAACAGTGGACTCCGTACCACACCCTTCATCTCGCCAGTGCCGATGTTTACAAATTGAACCTGGTACTCGTTTAAGCAAGTTAACCCTGGGAAAGCCCATAAACAGCTTCAGATGCCACTTGCTACTTGAGCAGAAAGTGACCAGGAATATTAATTCAGGTAATCAAGGAAACATAGTCCACTGCGCAAACCACTGGTCACCGCTCCCCACAATTATAAAGATTACCCAGTCTATTGGGGCAAGTCCTGTCGGCACTGCTCCACGCACATCATTAAAAATCAAACGGTAAATATATGAACAGTCCAAAAGAAAACAACAGCGTGATTGTAAACCAATCACAATAAAACAGGTGTCTAAAGCCAGCCACACAGCGGGTGGTTGTTTATTAACAACAACACTGACAGCTACTACCGTTTATAAATGACAAGAGACCCGGCGTCGATCGCCATTCGTATCAGCGGTCTCTCGTCTCTTTCCGAGGCGCGCGACGGACGAGTGTCGGCGCTGTGGCGCGCACCTGCGTGGAGAGGTGGTGGATGACGGCGATGGAGAGGCAGGCGTCGCACGCCCCCGTGCGGACGGGCAAGGCGAGGGCGTCGCACACCAGCGCCTGGAAGCCGCGCTGCTCGCAGATCCCCACCAGCCCGGCGCTGCGGTCGCAGCCAAACTGAGCGCGGGCGGTCGGCGACGGACAAAGAGAACGAAGACAAAGATCCCCGGTATGGGGTTAACGGACTGTGGGGGTAAGCGCTGTGAGCGAGCAACTATGAATGAAAGTACTGAGAACATAGGCACACATACGCATGCACACCGTAGGTGACATTGTAAAAATATGCAATTAAGCACCAAGGAGACAGTATAACATTCAAGCACCCACATGCACACACACGCAGGTGACGACAACATTAATACGCCCACGCGCAGGATGAAAATAAATACAAAACCCACTCATGCAAACTCAAGAATTGATGATACATTTTTTGTACATTATTTTTCAAGTCCATGCTCCTTGCATTCAACAACCTGTGCTTACCGGTGTGGTGAAGTATGGTTAAAGAACCCTATAATAATAATGACAACTTCTATAGCACTGTAACATGGCATGGAAATCCATTACAAGGGCACTCATCCAGTAGTTGATTGACAAATGGGCTGGACGTGTAATATTGACACCGCTACACTGTCACACAATGACTCAATCTTGGATATAACACAGGGTTCTTGAGTCAACCACTCATGACATAACCATGCCGAACTTTCCAATTGAGCAACGTTTAATCCCAATCGGTGCAGAAGGAGTTGAATTACAACCCTACAAGTGGACAGAAACAGAAGCAGATTTACTGAGAACAAATGTGTACGAGGTGGGATAATACATCTGGCAAGGCATGCATGTACAGTTCTACAGTTGTGCGATTGTCCTGCATTCAGTGCAAATTCACCTCCTTTAATGAGCAGTTGTCTACTCCACACGTTGCCAAACAATTTTCATTGCGCAGACGATAATCCATTGTCATTAAAGCCATTCAGGACTACTCCTTCAAAAACCCCTACAAATCAGCTTCACCTCGACACAATGTAAAGCATCGGTGAAAAGAAAGAGAAACTCTGAAACTGAGTGCCACTGGGACATCTCCCAACCTGCTCACCAATCCTTCTAATGGCGCTCAGGTCCCACACTAAAGCAGGGGTGGGGACGTTTTCTCGACTAGTGCTCGACTACCACTTTCAAATCCGTTACAGCGGACCGCATTAACACAACCGAGCTATATCCAATAGCCAAATCAAAAATGTTCCCACACCTGAAGTACCCGACTAGTGCCGCTGAGATGCTCAGAGTGAGGGATAAATACCGCTTATGGGCCGTATCGTAGCGGTAGGCTTCACGTGGTTGCGTCCTGCCAACTGAGTGTGGTGTACTCACACTGCTGGGTGGACACAGCCGGGGGGGGGGGGGATTTAAGAAACTTGCGAATTGTTACAACAATGGGAGATCGAACCAGCGACCTCTGAATTGCGAGTGCAGTGTGATAACCGTTGGAGCACGGCAGCATCCATCCCCCTCTAGTACCCAATCTGTGCATTGAAGACGCTTGAAACGAGGTGTAAATCTAGTCTGTGGGACCGTTCGAAGCGGCAAGCATTGCGTGGCCGCGGGCCGTGTGAACCGAAGTCGCGGGGGGCCGTGTCCGGCGGGTTCCCCCCGCCTGCCGCGGTCACGCCACGACAGACTCACCACGTATGATCCCTTGGCGAGGCCCAGGTACTTCCCGTTGCCGCAGCCCACGTCGCAGACGAGCGCGCCGGGCCGCAGGCCTTGCACGAAGGCGGCGACGCGAGGCCAGGGCGAGTGGCGGGTGCTGCTGAAGTGGCCCGCGATCTGCTCGTACACGCGGTGCACGTGCTCCGTCTCCAGCCGCTGCGCCGCGTCTCCCTCCTCCTCCTCCTTCTCCTCGTCGTCCTCCGCGTCTACCGAGCGGGCAGGATGCGAGAACGCCGCCGCCTCTACGCGCTCAGTCGCGACCGCTCGTGTCACCTGGTCGGGTCCGCGGCTCTCTTCCGAGGGGCCCAAGTGTGTCGCGCCGGAGGTGGTCATCCCTGCAGTGCTGGGCAGCGGTTCGTTGATCGGACTGCGCGAGGAGGGAGTTTGCAGGTTCTGTTGTTCAGCTTGGCTGTCACAGACCGAAGGGTAACCTAAGGTCGCGAAGACAACAATTTCCATATTTACTTTTTTGTCCTGGCAGCAATTTACACTGAAAGATCTTGCAGATGAAACTTTGTTCCAATTTACATTTAGGGATAACCAAGTAGCAGTGAAACGATGCACGAGATTCATCAAATGATATCGAGTCTTAGGCTCATGACACATGAATCCAATTGCAAATACTTGTACATACTGGGTTTATATTATACCAGCAGCCACTGCTGGCCACTGAATTCAACATATATAAAATATATATATTCTTGAATCGAATCAAAACGCAGAATTTCATAAATGGGACAGTAGGGGGTAAATATTTACATGCCTCCCAACAAGTTCCACCATTCAAGGAGCATGTAAAAACATTTAATGTATTTAGACAGCAGCCTCTGTCCTTTCACTTTGACTCTATGATACGATCAATGAAAGAGGGATATACGCAGTGCTTCATTTATTTCTGGTCCATGCTGGTCTGCGACCAGGAAACATATGTCCACGCCCGGCACACCATCTCTGGCATACCTCCCACACGAGGACTATGGGTACCAGTCGCGTGCCCACACCAGTCTAGCAGCGACCTGGAAAAAAACATCCAGTTGGAGATGAATGCCTAAATGTGAGGAAGCTCACGGCAGCGGCACGGCTCCCTCCGGACGGTGCGGAACGTGAAAGACGTCCGCACCCCACGCTGGGCCAGCGTGGGCCCTTGCGGTCCCTCCGCACCATCCCCGGGCGGCGGCGGCGGCGGCGCCGGCACCACGTCGAACTTGCGGGGCGTGATGCTGCGAAAGATAAAGGCGGCGGGGTTGTCACGGGCAGAGGCGCGTCGCGCGGCCGGAAGCCCACCGCAGCGCGCGCAGGGTGTCGCTGCTCTGCCGTAACCCACGCACGCACGCCGAGTGGCGCCGTCTCTCTCTCCCCACCCCTCCCTGTCAAGTTGCAGCGCGTCTGCCAAATGACGCGTGTCGATATGCTGCTGTCCGGCATATAAGTGGGAGGTTTTGGGTTACTCGAATTTTTTTTTTTAAGATAAAATAGCTGCAAGCATTTGCTTATGTATTCCAGAATTGCTTTAAATTTGCTTTTTAAAATATATATTTTTATATATATGATAAAACCAGACAAATAAGATTTACAAGCAAGAAACGTGCTAAACTTGGTCCTGGCGGAAAAACAAACTGTTTTATGAAGACAGCAGATATGTTTGGGCAGCTCATCCCTGAATACAAGTCCAGTATTTTGAGGACCGAGTGTTCATTATCTCTACATGTGTAAACATTCATCGTGTGTAGTACATTTTTACACTCATGATACGTGTATTGAACCATACGTGTAAGAAACTATTCGGATTTCTTCATCTAGTACATAATTTATTTGTGACCTCTGCCGCTGACGACCGCAAAGTTAAAAAATAATAGATTCTTCAATCAAAACATGGGAACGAATCGTGAACATCGAATTGTAAAGCAGTTCAAGATTTAATAGTCTCCTAGGCATAGCAACTTTATAAATCAAGTCTCACCCTCTTTGGTCTTGATTAGCATCTGCGGATTGTACCGACTAGCACAAACAAACTGATGGAGTGGCTTTGCTGTCAAAGAAGCATGTTTAGCTATTGAGGCAGGAATTCCCTTTTGGGAAGCTTTATAATTCAACAAGCAAACCCAGCTTTAGGTCGATGGTTCACTTTGTCTAAGCTTTGCAAGCATCTTCTCTTGAGAGTGAAATATAACTTTTTGAGTCAGCATGTAATGGTGCATCGATTCAAATCGATCTCCGCGTTCACGTTCGGAAAATCACAAGAGCGAGAATCTATGATTGATGGAAATTTCTGTGCAAATGATAAGTTTGTTACATTTAGGCTAATGGAGCAAACACAATTGTATAAATGAGGCAGAAAAGAAGTAAAAATGTATTATATGATACCGACAAACAAGATTCCACTCATGTCCTCGAATTCATAACATCGTCGATGGAGAAAGGGTGAGTGAATCGTGACAGTTTTGTGTGCTGCAGATTGACCGAGACATGCAGAGGTTGTGGGTTCGATCCCGACTCTGACGCCTGTATATTTGGAGTTTGCATGTTCTCCCCGTGGTCACGTGAATTTTTTTTCTCGGGGTCCTCCAGTTTTTTCCTCCATATTTAATAACATGCATTTACATTATTGAGATTATTTTGCTGCTATAAATTTCCACGTGATAAACCACGTTGATAAGCCACGTGATAAGCCACTCTTAAAAATTAGCTAATACCTCAGTGGGCTATACCTGGTCAGATAAAAAATGGTTCAGTTTTATTTATATATCTTTCCTATACTTTGCACTCCCATCGTGTTTATGTATTGTTTGTTGTTGTAACGTTCTAACTGGATATCTGTGAAAAAGAGCTTTATAGCTCATCGGATTCCTACAGTATAAATATTCTGATTCTGAAGCTCCGCTACTGCAGAGCAGCCTTAACAAGATAATCCATCGCTTCCTGAAGCTGCGGCCTGTGCTGAGCGGGCAGTGCCACGGTCAGGCGGGCGACCCGCGACCCAGGGTTCGAATGCGAGCGGGCGTCGACTCGGTGGCGCGGAGGGTGGTACCCGTGGCTCCAGAGGTAGCGCGATTCGCCCGCCATCACCAGCAGGCTGCGGCGAGGGAGCAGCACAGACGCGTGGCTGCCATCGGGGTGCCGGAACTCCATCACCGTCTGCGGCGCGGTCACGGGTTACCGGGGAACAACACGGTGTTTCGTCACGAGTCACAACGGCGGCATAGCACGACGTGAGGGTTTCTTCCAATGGATTGTTGGATATTGCATCAGAAAAGATGCGGTGCGGTGATTCATATACTGCACTGTGAACCCGACCACCTGAGTTCGATTCTCCACCACAGATCATATTGGTGGCGAGTGATATCCAAACCAGTGATGGGCCCAACCCCACTTTCACCATCCCACTCTGCCCAGCACAGTGCAGTTTCATCAAATAGCCCTCCCACAACTGATATGGTGAGAGAAGGCTTTAATCCATTCGATGACGGGCTGTAAGTTAGTTCTTCTATTTTTAAATGATTGAATGCCTGTGATGCTAATTCCCTGAAAATATAATGATGTACTCTACTCGAGTGGCGTTTGATTTGTGGCAAGTCTTACCGAGGCTCCCAGGCTCAGAGACATGATGCCGTCCTCAAAGGCAGAATGTGTGTCAATGTGCGGGGGGATCCCTGCATGGGGTGAACAAAACAACAACGCAAACATTTAAGCGAAGCATTTAAAAGGAGTGTGCTTTACCACACCAAATATTGAGATGTAAATATTGACATGAGTAGTCACACCGCCTGCTCCGTGTTGTGTTTGTGTCCGTAACCTTCATCGCTTTAATGTATTGTTCCTCTGTGGCATTGCTCGTGCCATATTTAAAGTTAATGTGGTGTAGATGTAGATGTACAATATTTAGAAATGCAATTTGCATGCATGACGCTACATAAAATAATTATTATTACGGTCAAAAATTATTTTAATTCAAAATGTATGAATGCATGTATGGTACCGATATTACTATCGGTGGGGCGGAGCGGTGGCACCGCGATTAGCGCACTGCGCTATGAACCTGGAAACCTGGGATCATATCGCGAGCAACACCTCACCATCACCCCCTTCACCAACCCATAGCAACTCGCCTGAAGTATGTTTCAAATGATCCCAATGTCCGAAGTTATATGCGGGAATCCTTCATCCAGGACTGGATATTCATTTTAAGATTGAATTACGATGGGTAGTGTTAATAGTGAGACACAAACCTTGACCGGGCTGGTACTGGTTTACTGTCAACTGATTGGGCCGATGTTGAATGTAACCGGCTGATAGGCACTTGTCAGTGAGTTCATCACACATAGCTGGAACACCTGGGGACAAAGAACAAATATACTTCAGCATCATCATTAAATAGACTGCCATTTGGCTGAAAAGCATATTAGACAGCAAAGCTTTAGGGGAGGCGGTGAGGGTAGGCAGCAGACTGTGACTTAGACAAAAATAGCATTTGACAATGTGAGTTAGGCAACGGTTTCAACACCAACACTTTTGACACGGTTGTAAACACTAGCCTAAAATGGCACACATGAATCTACAATGACGAAAGACTCCAACAGGTAAAATATTTACGCTCTATCTTAACAACAACCTGCGACACACAATAAGCAGGTCATTTCAAGTTGTTTCACGAATCTGTCTGTAAATTATGAGCTGGTGAATTCCCCTCCCCCACCCCCCCGAAATTAAGAAGATCCTCACCTCTATCCAGCGGCTTATCCTTGTCCACATTGTTGTTATCGTAGCGGAATTCATATCCAAAGTGCTGGACGCACCTATGCTTAAGAGACTGCTGGGCTGAAAAACCACACAAAGACAAAAGAAAAACAAATGCTAAAACTTTTAGAGAATAAATTCAGTGTCGCACCGGATTCACATACGCTACTTTTGTAACAACTAAACAAAAATTAAATGGCCCATTTTGTATGTATGTTTAACTTATTTCGCACCAAACGTAGCCAACCCGAGGTGCAGGGATGAGCAACAGACTAAACACAAAAAGCAGTTGTAAAGAAATTAGTTTTCAGTCATAATTTAAAAGTGCATAGCTCCACTGACTTCCCAATATCTGAAAGCACGCGATGCGGCTTCGTTCGATGGCTAGCCAAAAGCCGCTGCGTGGATATGGCATCCTCACGCCATGATCGTTGTTTGACCGTACTTTTGTGACGTGGCGCGCGGCAACTACTGAAAGGGAGGTTAGGTTTTCATTCATGCTGACACTGGGATGACTGCATTATCTCGTGCTTGGAACAACTATTGATTATATGCATGCGCAGTGTTTAGTGAGGTGTGACTGAGCTGCCCTAGGCTTAACTTGCATGTGTGGGGAAGTGGAGTATCACTCAGTGAGAAGCAGAACTACCACTTTGTTCATGATTAGTGGGCCGAGCGCTTGTGGCGGGAATAATAACTCAATCCCCAGCAGGTCATTATAATTGCTTTCTCACCATTGGTCAATTTGGCATGCTTTTCAAATCAAGCAACTGCTTGTTGAAATCGTGGGCAAAGTTTTAATTAGGAGCAATTAGGTGGGGTGGAGCGTCTCTCCCATTGGCAAGGGGCTGGGTATAAAAGGTGAGCTCTGAGCAGAGGACCCGGGGACATCAGCAAATTATCTAGAATGGAGGCATGCTGTGTTACCACTTGGGGGCACTGCAGTAGTGGGGGCTGAAGGTGAGCAGAGTTGACTCATCAGGCCACTGGGAACTGCCCAGCTTTATCCTGTGAGTAGAATCCTATACTGTGGTTCAATAGTGCAGTTTAACATGCTGTACATCGAGATCCTTTGAGTAATCGATTCCCTGTGGTTTACTGGCTGTCAAGACTGCAGTATGGTCAAGGGTAAAGCAGGATTGGGGTTGGGAAAGCTGGCCCTAGTACTGCCCTGTGGCAAGGAGGAATTCCTGCTACTGAACTCTAAATGGAACCTGTCTGCTTGTGGGGTGAAGCATTGGTGTGCTCTACGACTGGATGGTGTCGTGTTTTTGTTTTTGGCATGCAGTGGATTCTGAGTGGGGGTGGGGTGCCATCTGGTGGACTGGCTGTGGTGCGTGAGGCCCTCGTGACCAGTGGCAGCCCTTGTGTAGGGGGGGGGGGTTCTGGTTGGAAGGAAGCGAGCACGAGGGCTCCACATTGATGTCCAGAACCCACAAGTCAAACCAAGGGTGGGGTGAAATGTCATGTGGTGTGTGTGGTGTGTGTGTAAAACCCCAGTTTATGTCTAATTGCTTTAGCTAGAGGGGACTTTCCCATATCTGGGAGACTCTCCCAAACGGCCCTGGTGTCTAGCGGTGGCGGATGCAACCTTTGTTTTGAAGTGTGTGGGTTCAGAACTATGTTCAAGTTCATTTATTAGGTAGAGCCCTGTGAGCCATTCGGCTCTTGAATCGGGTGCAACCGCAACAAACAAAAAACAAGAACAAGAAAACATCTTAAAGTGACTATGTGACTATGCAAACAGAAAATCCAAGAAGACAGCAAAATATTGCAGAAAAAGCACCATACACCAACACTGTGTGCACAAATCCCAGTAGGACATAGGTGCAAGTGTGCTCTGGTGTCATTTCTCGTGAGTAGTTTGGCTTAATTCTCTTGTGCTCACTGGAAAACTTTCCTACCTGTTAAACTCTGATTGGCCTGCCTACAAAATAGACCCCTACAATGTGCAATTTACAGGTGAAAAGCTAGCATTGCGATTCCATCCATCATACATGCACATGTCACCGAGTTGGGTCACAAATGATGCCGGCTACGAATCTGTGCCGCAACTTCACCACGCTGGCTGGTGCCATTTGAGGTATCGCATGCCATGGTTGGCTGTGAGTAGGAACTAAAGTTGATCATTGCTGTGCAACTGCTCCAACCCACACCATAAAGACCTCGAGTCACAAACCTGTTGGCTGCTGTCTGCCCCAGTCAAGGCAGCTCAGCAGCTGGTCCTCGTACTCGGATGAAACGCAGTCTGGGATGAGCTTCAGGCCTGGTGGCAGGGCCTCTGTGCAGCTTTCCTGACGCGGAACTGAGGGAAGATAAAAATGCTCTTTAACGGTGTATCTAATTCATCGCACTTGAGCAAAAATGAAACCATATCCAAGTCGTTTGGAGAGTGGGTGAGATGGGGTTGAAGGATAAGGACTAGAGGATGAGCTCCAAGTGCCATAATAGAAACGACACCAAACATTAGAGGGTGCCACAATGTCAATGGATAAGAACAACCTGGTCCCAGGCTAGCATGTGAGGAAGCCATAACATTTCTGAGTTGTGCTAAAGTGCAAACGCTAACATTCACAACTGAACTTTTAGCTTGAATAAAATCATTTATCTTTATTTAACACAAGCTTTGTCAAATGTCTCCATTGGTCAACAAAAATCAATCCTCCTGTAGGATGACCTCCCCAAGCCAATATCTTTGTCCTGCATTGTAATAATCCACCTGCATACAAGCTGATTTGATGGCTCCAGATCCTCTGTGGGTGTCTTCTCTGAAATGTTCTGTTGGCTGCCAATATTTATTTTACTGAATATCAGCAATAGGTGTTTATCTGTCTAACTAACAGCCAATTTTATCCAGTTGCTTTTGCTCTTTTGCAACAACTTTGCAACCCATGTGCACCAAACGATTACCCTATGCCTCAATGCCCATTCCATGGTCATTAGCGTGACCGTTTAGACTCCATAAAATTGGTGTGAGTATGAAGTAAACATGAGTTATGGTTTGGACCCTGTGGTGGGGCTAGGGTTGTATATTATGACTGGATGAGAACACATGTTCAATACCTAATCTTGATTTTTTTAAAGAAAAAAATATGGGCTTAGGGAGGACGTGTCATTCGAATGGATGATTGTCAGTGGTAAAGGATAGTGGCAGCGATGGTAGAATGTGCTTGAGAGGACCACCATGGAGATTAAGCAGTGACCTTGGTGCATGGTGGAATATTACACCGTGGTGGTGAGATGTTAACTCCCTTGCCTGGTATGCACGAGGTCATGGGTTCGATCCCGACCCTGGTGGCCTATTTGGAGTTTGCATGTTCTCTCCATGGTCACGTGAAATGTTCTCCAGATCCTTTGGGTTTCCCCTCCATATTTAGAAGCATGCGTTCTGGCAACTGCTATACATTCCCACGTGACAAGCCACTTCGTTGCGCGAGATCGCTTCTGAAAAAGTAATTAATAGCTCGGTGGTCATTACCTGGTTAAAAAAAACAACTTTAAATTAGATGGTGAGATGGCGATGTTTTAAGTCTTCCATTCAGCTGTGGACTGATGATGGTGGATGACGATGCTGAATGCTGGGAAACAACCCCATATCTCTCAAACCCTTATCAGTGCCTAGCTTATTACAGACCAACTCAGACCTTATTGGTCACCCCGTGCCCCGACAAAGTCCCGTACTGAAACGGCTGTACGCCGTATGGACCTGAGAACTCCAATTTCCCCCGTGCAAGAATACGGGGGGTTAAACCGTACGGGTCGACGGCTATGCAAGCCCACCTCTCTCCACGTGGCACAGGTGGAGCGTGACGGGGGCGGTCGCAACGGCCGACGAGACCGAGCAGCCGTCGAGCTTGCGCCGTGCCCCCTGCGCCTCGTGCACGCTGGAGAAGGAGGCGAAGGCGTACGGCCGCCCCCGCGGCGTCTCCAGCGCCTCCAGGTGCCCCTGCGCGCCCATCAGCTCCAGCAGCGTCGCACGGGCCACGCCGTTCCCCAGGCCCCCGTTCGCGATCAACAGGTGCTGCCGCCCGGTGTGTGTGCAAGAGCGCCGCACAGATGACATCCGTCACATTTGGGGCCGGCCATAAATGACGTCACGCGATTTTGGACGACTTTTGACCCCCTTCTCGTCACACGGCGTCACAAAGTCAGACCCCCCCCTCAAATATGACGTCACAAAACCATATTTCCATTTTGAAAATAAAAATGCTTTAAATCGCTTTAAACTATTGTCATAGTAGTGCTATTTAATGTGGCGCTGCACTCTGATGTTGTAGGAGTGTTATAACAATTCTATATTTAAAGTTGCGCATTTTGATGTGACGTCACATTTCTCACCCCCCCCCCCCACCAGGTGCGTGACGTCATTTATGGACGGCCCCTTTGCATGTTTGTATAACGTGCCTCCCTTTGCACTACCTTCCCCCCCGCCCCCCCCCCCCCCCCCGAGGGTGCCCTTCGGCAGGGGGAACACCCCGTGGCAGATGTCCCCCCGTGTGGCACAAGGTGAAAGCAGAACCCAGCCTGCGTGTGGGGAGACGGGGGGTGGTGCAACGCGGCTGTCGATGAAGTTTGAGAAATCGAACAAATTTCGGCCGGGACTGCGGCACGCATGGCCCCACTCCGTGTCACATCGTGTCACAGGGTGATTATTGTAAATATGGAGTGGACGGTGGGCTCGAACGGGAAACTGCTACGACCTTGAAATAATGTGCTCGGATGTGCGATGTTCTGCGCATGATGTTTTGGGGGTGGGCATGGCAACAAATGTATAACATTAAAATCGCAATCCAAAGGTCAAGTAACATTACAAGTTCATATTCTATGGTTCTTTTGGTAAAGTCACGTAGATCGAAAAAATAACAATAAAATAGTAAAAATGAAAATAGTTAATAAAAATATCACGACGTTTCGATCGCAACACAAGCGGTCGTCATCAGAAACAGGTGATCATGCCGACCACTTGCGTTACGATCGAAACGTCATTTTTATTCCCATTGGAACCTCATTTGCCAGTAGCAAAATATGATAATTGTTTTTTTACCCTTTTATCTGAGAACAAAACTAACACCTTTTTTACACAACACAGTTGTGTTTTTTGTTTGCATTATGACTGCAGGTATTGTGGTCAATGCTAACATGACTCCTTGTAAAAAAGGTGTCAGTTTTGTTGCTAGATAAAAGGGTAAAAAAACAATTGTCATTTTTATTATTTTATTCATTGTTTTTATTTTTTTCTATCTACGTGACTTGACCGAAATAACCATATAATATGAATTCCTACAGTCACGAAAGTTTTAAGTCAAAATTTAACATTACAAGTTGTAAATTGGTTCAATTTGGTCATGGAAATGTGTAAATGCCCCTGATTCGACTGGGGTTATCCCACCGCTGAATTAATCCACGACTTCCAAGCCACACAATGCATGCACAACGCATTCAACTTGGTTCCGACATCCAGTGTCTCATCAGTCGCATTTCGCGTTGATCCGGGCCAAATCCTATTGGCACTCCTAGATGGAGGGTCGCCCCCCTCTCTCTCTTCGAGATGTGTGGCTTCCAGATTATTAGTAGCCCAATGGTTAGTTTAACACGTAGGCTTTCGCGACCAATGTTATTCATAATCAACGTTTTTGGGTTTAGATCGCGTTATTTATAAATGTGTCGTAACCCTCCACCACCCGACATGGCCAATCAGTAAAAAAAAGTGTCACGTTGACAAAAGACAAATAGTTCACTGCTTTAGCCCACCGTAAATGTTGTGGCTTCAACACACCGGTGGGCTAAAGCAGTGAACTATTTGTCTTTGTCAACGTGACACTTTTTTTACTGATTGGCCATGTCGGGTGGTGGAGGGTACGGGTATCGGGTACCCGGTTGCGACCTCTGTTCGAGAGCCTCCCTGGAAGCCCGCCGCGTGTGTGTCCCCCCCAGAGTTTCTATTTCCCTCGTCCAGGAGTTTCTATCGTTGTGTAGCGTAACGACAACACGACGTGCAAGTAACGAGAAGCTAGCGAGCTCCCGAGTCTGTCTCGTCAGACCTGCGTCGGGTGGTCTACGGTCTGAACGCCGTCCAGCCTCAGCAGCGTGAGGCGAGCCTTGCGCAGCCTCCTCTGCCCCTTCCTGTCGGCCTTCGTCTCGCGGACCTTCCTCCCCCCTCGTCCCTCGTGCCCTGCCTCCTCTGCGTCCCCCCGGGGACTCGGAGGAGGCACCGTCGCTGTCACCGCGGCCGCCTCCATCGCGAGCACCGTTCCACGTGGGCTTGATATCTCTGTGGGAGGATCGATTCGTGTTTTACCGCAGGAATCGATTCCAGTGAACCTCGCCCTGACCCCAACGATCGTTGCGAGAGTCGATCCGCGAGTCGGAATCGATTTGTCGAGTCCGCTTACCGTGTTGAGAGGTATGGCGAGTTGAGTCGATTCTAATTTAAGTTGCTCGCCCGATAGGAATCGTAATCGTGCACGAGGCCAATGTGCAGGGCACGAGGGGTGAGGTGTGGAACTGCAGCCCGCGTTGACCAGCGTGGTGAAGTATGGTCGAACCAACAACCACGACCAATTGCTTCTAGATTTGAAGCTTTCGTGACTGCAAGGATTCATACCCTTAGGTTTTTCGGTAAAGTCACGTAGGTAAAAAAGAAATAATAATAAATAATAAAAATAATAGAAATAAAAGAAAAATATATTTATTATTTTATTTCTATCATTATTTTTTTTTATATTTTATTTTTTACCTACGTGACTTTACCGAAAAACCTAAGAGTACGACCAATTGCTGACAAATGTCCCTCTCACGGCTTCACGCTGATCAGGGGGCCGATGGTGATGGCCGACGCCAGGGTAGCTTTATTTTGGTGATTCGAAAACATGGTTAATCTAAATTGTCTTTATGATTGGGATTTTTGCGCACAGCGTTTTAAGAATTTTTTTTTTATATTTGCTGGTTTATTCCAGGATGTTTCTGTTACGCGTCGTCGCTTTAAGATGTTCTGTGTTCATATTTAGTTTGTTGCGGTTGCACCCGACTTAAGAACCGCATGGCTCACGGGGCTATACCTAATCAATGAACTTGGTATCAGGATTTGAATAGACGATGTTCCACTTCGCTCACAGCCACTCGCTGCAGTTGCTGCTCCCCCTTTGACCGCAGGAGCGATGGGAAATCCGCACGGACTTTCCTCTCGTGGCCACGAGCAGACACCTCCACACACAACAATTATAATAATTACAATTCATACGGCGGATTTTCATCGAGGATCTCAAAGCGATGTACAAGGACGCAGCAGCAGATACTCTGCATAAATATAGTATCAATCTTAAGGAATCATTTACTAAATTAACTCAAATGTTTAATAAGTGGAAGCGTATAAATAGATTTTAAGGCGCATTTAAAAAGTCTCCACGGACTCTGAGAGATTCCTGATGTCACGTGGAAGAGCGTTCCATAGCCTGATGGCTTGCACGGGGGAAAAAATCTCTGACCCGTAGACCGAAACGTCGACCTGGAAATGCACAGAGAAGATGTGCATCACGCCCCAGACCTCGAGGGGACCTGTGGGTGCAGCATGGCAATGAGTGTAGGCTGGGGAGGATGGTTCGCTGATTTGGAAGTTGACGATAGGATTTAAAACTGTGGGCGCCAGTGCAGGGAGGCCAACTCGGGTATTGTAGCACGATGTGAAGATTGTGTTCTGGTTATTACGCAATAGCCCCACGCATGGATATGAACTTATCGATGCGCAGTGCGGTAGCGCCTCGGGGTCGGCAGGCGGCGCAAAACCTCTCTGAGACGAGCAGGGCTCGACGAGCCGGGTGGGTGTGGTGGAGAGCAAATGACACATTTGTCCAAGAACTCTACATTACAAGGATTTGTAAAGCATTGTTATTTACACTTGTATACGAAGCCTTAATTCCGGCGAACGCACGGCTTGTTAAAAATCATTCAGTAGAGTTGTAGTATTTATCGTGTTGATCTATAAGTGCTAAAAATGGATAGAGGCAGTCCATAAATGACGTCACGCACCTGGGGGGGGGGGGGGGTCAGGTATTTGTGACGATGGGGGGTTTAGAAATGTGACGTCACATCAAAATGCGCAACTTTAAATAAATATAGACAACACGTTCTACTTAATTAGACTTTTTAATAAATGTTTTCTCCTACAACAGAGTGCAGCGCCACATTAAATACGCACTACAATGACAATAGTAAAACGATTTAAAGCATGTTTATTTATTTCTATGGGAGGGGGGGGCGCACAGCTTTGACGTAATATTTGAGGTGGGGTTTGACTTTTTGTGACGCCGTGTGACGAAGGGGGGGGGGGGGGGTAAATCGTCCAAAATCGCGTGACGTCATTTATGGGCGGCCCCAAATGTGCGTTCACGTGGATAATACGAACGTATATATGCGTGCAGCCGTTGATTACAGCGTCACTTTGATTGTAAAGACGTGGCGTGAGGTTGCTTCGGGGTGCGTCTCTGGTGCGATGATGGCTTGCTGCACCACGCCGTCCTTGGCCCTCTCCAGAAGCGATGTTTTACAAATCGTACCAGGCACTCATTTAAGACCAAGTCGACGAATGAGCGTTTGGAATTTGGAAGTAAACCAAAGTGCCGCGATAAAAAAAAACATCAGAAAGTTCGCGAATGAGAGGGAGGAATCTGGTCTATCGAGCTCGCGTTGGCGAGGAAACCAGACGAGCCCGCGCCAGGCATTGGCCCAGCCTCCTTGCGGGAGATGCTTGCTACGTGTTTTGAAATCTCAATTGTATAATTCGCGGGATAATATTTCAAGTTCGCCAAATTTGACTTAATATTGCATTAACACGCCATTGGATATTTTACATCCGCTTTTGAACCAGACGGCGCCTACGCTTTATGGTTAATACACCCGCAGCACTAACCAGGGCGACCGCTGGTGTCGAACCGCAAATCTCTGCGACATGCCAGCGAACGCGCTACCGCTGCTAGACCGTTTCGCACTCGTAGCTCCGCACATATGGATTGCAAGACTCGATTTCTGTACTGCGAGCCCTTAGCCAGCTCGCAACCCCTCATGTACACCGTCAGGATGATGCAGTCGCGTGGAAAAAAATAAAATATTGCTCTTGCTACCGTAGCTGATGCTGTTGTATTATACTGCATAGTTACGCATACAACAATTTGCAGAAATTGCCAATGACAGTAAGGGAGATCTCACCTGTCCCACCTGTTCCGATGAGCTTTATCGGTCATTAGATTCCTCCCAGTATACAGAAATATTCTGAAAATTAATATTCTGATTCTAAATATAGTCTTGTGCGCGCGACCCTCCCACCCCGGACTATTGGGTGTGTACCCCGATATGATAATTAACATGTAATTAATATTATATTTATAATTGTTCATCACAAGTGTCTTTGAGTTGCGCTCGTTTATACTATGTGTTGTGCTCATTTAAAATGGCCTTCGTTCCTATCAGGTCGAGGAAGGGAGGTTTTCATGCCCTCGCCCAGAAATACATTCGTGATATCGCGCCTAAGACCTTGAAGGGGCATCGGCCCTTTGACCGAAATAAGTTAGTTAATGTTGAGCCTAGCAAGAAGTAGCAAACGCCATATATGGATATAACATCCGGCCTCCTAGTCTAAGTAACTAGTTTCTACAACGTCCCACGGTCTGGTTGCATTAACGGTCGTTAATATCGATGAGAAGAGGTGTGATTTAAAGGTCGGAACAGGTCTGTCTGTTCTTCACCTGAGGACGGCTGCTTGCGTTGTGGCCGAAACGTCGTGAGAATTGTATTTTATTATGTTTTATTTTTATTATTTTACTATTTCCCTTCTACGTGACTTTACCGAAAGAACCAAGAAGATGAATCCCTGCAGTCACGAAAGCTTTAAATCGAGATCTTTTCCAATTCTAACATCACTTATTCACGGCACCTAAAAAGGGGATGAGTTCATTTTAGAGGGCTCATACGTTAGCCGATTATCCACCTAGACATTCAACTTTTTCACCATACGTTGGTTTGTACGGTTGTGTAGGTCGCGTGTTTTTCGTGTATACTGTAGAAGAACAATGGTGCAGCGTTGACGTGCTTATGAGACTAGTTGATGCTTTAATCTATCAAAAACTCGGACACTCGGTCAACGACAAATCCGAGTGGTTTATTGCTGTTTCTTGAGTCGTATTGTTTAAAAGCCTGAACTGCTGGACGGATCCATGAACCTGGTGACCATTGTAGAGAATGTCTTTATTACAATTGATGTCAGAAAACCCCTAGACACGAACTTGCGAGAATCATGTATTTATATAATAAAATAAGACTCTCCGCATACAACAGGACCGCAGAGTCTCGCCTATTGAGCTCGTTCAGCAAACCTTGCGGTGTAGGCTCCTCCCTTCGGGTTTCCGAAAGCTTCTGTGGTGGGGGTGTTGGTGGGGGGGTGTAGCGGGTAGTGTAGCGCGCTGCGCTACGAACCTGGTGACCCGAGTTCGATTCTCGCTCACGGCCAACACCAGGCGACGATTGTCTGAACCGGTCCTTGGCCTTCCCTAGGTCGACTCTGCCTCCAAACGAGTACCTTGTGCGGTGTGTAAACCTCGCCACTGGGGATACAAAGGCGGTCGGGCGTGGTGCTGGCCACCCCCCCCCCCCTCGTGTGCCGTGCCGGTCTTCATAGGTGCTCGCTAACAGCACTTGTCCCTAAAGTCTGTTACAGGCTACACGGGGGATCTTTGTCTTTGGTGCGGGGAGGTGGGGGGCTTTCGGTGATTTCCCGAAACCCGCGCGCGTCACTTCACGGCCGCGGGGCGCACTGCGAACATTCGCAGTGCGCTCGCTCATGGCACGGCATCTATGCGGACACGACGTTTGAACGCCAATTCGGATGAGACATTGAAGACCGGGTGGGGGGGGGGGGCCCTACTGCGGTGCCCGCGGCTCTGTGTACATTCCGTATGCACTGACAATGAATGACGAAAATGTTGGCGTGAAACTGCCGCGTAACGTTACGCCTAAAACCAACACGTGGATCGTGTAGCATCGTCTGCGATAACTTCAGTTAAGGCTCGTGTACAAGAGCCTACACACGCAAGCGACCACGCGTCCATGCGTTCTCATTAGGGTATAGCAATGGGGGGGGGACCAAATCTTCCAGGGGGTGTGGGGGTCCCTCCCCAGAAAAAAAAAAAATCTAAATTTGAAAACGAATTTCCTGCCAAAAATATAAAAAAATCACTACCATTTTTTTACAATAGTGTCTAATAGTGTATTGTATTACATTGCTCTGTTTTTTCTTTTACATTTTCTTGTTTCATTGTATGTAATGGCAGAGATTAGGGATTAATAAAGTACAACCATAACCACAATCATATAAACATAAATCTATTTTATAGCAATATATATTGGGGGAGGGGGGGAAGTGTCCCCCTCTCCCCCAATTTATATTATAATTACGGCCTTTGGGGTATAGCATAATAATAATAATGATGCATGACTGTGACAACGTCACTTCTCTGCATTTACGAGGCGAATGCGCTCTGGCTGCGTGACGTGGATTCTTGAATTCCACGCGAATTCGGCGAAATGAAGTCGAGGGAGACATCGCTCGTGCATGCAGCGGGCAGCCTCGCTTCGATTACCCATTGGGGCGTTGCTTTGCAAATAGCGGCGAGGCTAATCTATTGAGTAATAGGGCAGCGTGAACAACACTCGTCTTATTTATAGAACGTGACGCAGTAGTTAGGGGCCGTCCATAAATGACGTCACACGGCGTCACAAAAAGTCAGACCCCCCCCTCAAATATGACGTCACAAAGCTCTGCCCCCCCTCCAAAAATAAAACATGCTTCAAATCGCTTTAAACTATTGCCATTGTAGTGCGTATTTAATGTGGCGCTGCACTCTGATGTTGTAGGAGAAACATTGATTAAAAAGTAGATTTAATTAAGTAGAACGTGTTGTCTATATTCATTTAAAGTTGCGCATTTTGATGTGACGTCACATTTCTCACCTCCCCCCCCTCGTCACATCGTCACAAATGTCTGACCCCCCCCCCCCTCCTAGATGCGTGACGTCATTTAGGACGGCCCCTTATCCACTAACACTGACAACGGCACGGTAAAACAACCCCCGTCACCAACAAAGGCGTTTTGAAGGCCTTCATTCAGCAGTGGATTAGCAGAGACCTGTTGATGTATTACTCTTACAGTTGAATGCGAGGGGATGACACCAAAACTGAACGCAGAGTCGTTAATGAGGCACGAATTTGCTCTCCTGCTACTGACAAGCATTGCCCTGAAGTTGGTGATCTCACGCAATCGTGTTCTCATCTCTTCGTGACCCACCAACCCCCCTGAACTAGAATACAGTCATGAGTCGCCGGTCACCGTCTGTAAGAATCCAGTCCAATGCCTAACCTTAGTCAAGATTTATTGATTTTTAACGCCTCAAACAATAATCAATTAGGTCCTTAATGACATGGGCCTCCCCGACCACTGCGTGACGTCACACGCCATGGCTGATGATCGTCACAGAGCGTTTCAAATCAGTGAGAAATCATCTAAGAAATGAAAAGATTACACTGTGTAACACAATTTTTGTTCCTGGATATTAATAGTTATTTTTTAATAGCTTATGCCTAAAAAGTACAGAACATGGATATTATTCCCCACAAACTTTGCTTTTCTGACCAGGACTTTACGTGAAGGAATTATACAAATGCACACGTTTTCTCATTGAAAATAGGTAACTTTAAATAAATATAGACAACACATTCTACTTGATTAGACTTTTTTTTATAAATGTTTTCTCCTACAACATCAGAGTGCAGCGCCACATTAAATACGCACTACAATGACAATAGTAAAACGATTTAAAGCATGTTTATTTATTTCTATGGGAGGGGGGGGGGGGGGCGCAGAGCTTTGACGTAATATTTGAGGTGGGGTTTGACTTTTTGTGACGCCGTGTGACGAAGGGGGGGGGGGGTAAATCGTCCAATATCACGTGACGTCATTTATGGGCGGCCCCAAATGTGCGTTCACGTGGATAATACGAACGTATATATGCGTGCAGCCGTTGATTACAGCGTCACTTTGATTGTAAAAGACGTGGCGTGAGGTTGCCCCGGGGTGCTTCTCTGGTGCGATGATGGCTTGCTGCACCACGCCGTCCTTGGCCCTCTCCAGAAGCGATGTTTTACAAATCGTAGCAGGCACTCATTTAAGACCAAGTCGACCAATGAGCGTTTGGAATTTGGGAGTAAACCAAAGCGCCGCGATAAAAACAGCATAAAGTTCGCGAATGAGAGGGAGGAATCTGGTCTATCGAGCTCGCGTTGGCGAGGAAAACAGACGAGCCCGCGCCAGGCATTGGCCCAGCCTCCTTGCGGGAGATGCTTGCTACGTGTTTTGAAATCTCAATTGTATAATTCGCGGGATAATATTTCAAGTTCGCCAAATTTGACTTAATATTGCATTAACACGCCATTGGATATTTTACATCCGCTTTTGAACCAGACTACACTGTGTAACACAATTTTTGTTCCTGAATATTAATAGTTATTTTTTAATAGCTTATGCCTAAAAAGTACAGAAAATGGATATTATTCCCCACACACTTAGCTTTTCTGACCAGGACTTTATGTGAAGGAATTATACAAATGCACACGTTTTCTCATTGAAAATAGGCAAATTTCGAAATATCACTGTCTTGGTCACAAAAGTAAAGTGTTTGGGGAATAACAGCCATTTTTCTATACTTTTGAGGCATAAACAATTAGGAAATAACATTTACTACCCAGGAACAAAATACCGTTTTGTTAGTGTTATTTATAAACGAGATGACGTCATCACCACGTGTGGAGTGGGTGCTGGCGGATTGCCAACGGGGTCCCAAGTCCGCACGGCCGCAGTGGAGGACCCTGCGGGCTGCGTGTGGCCTCCACACCTTTACAAAGTTGCCGTCAGAGTATTTAGATGATATTGATGCTGTAAATGTCCACACGATGAGCCTCTTTCAGCTGTGAATCGTGGGCAGGTCGAGTCTGAAAAACAAGTTAATAGCTTAGGGGGGCTTTACCTGGTAGGATACAAAATATATTTTACTTTATTTGTATATACTTAGTGATTTAATCTGGGATTGAAGCTTTCGTGATTGCAGGAATTACTATACTCATTGGTTCTTTCGGTAAAGTCACGTATGTAGAAAAAAAAATTAAAAATATAATTTAATTTTTATTTTATTTCTACACACGTGACTTTACCGAAATAACCAATGAGTACTTGGTGATTTGTTTTACATGTCCCGTATTCTGCACTCCTGTCGTCTTTTTGTTTTGTTGTCGTCACGTTATGAACCCGCCCCTACAGGACATCTGTGAAAAAGGGCTTCATAGCTCGTCGGATTTCTCCAAATAATAAATAAATATTCTGATTCCGGCCCTGCGGCAGCGGCCTCTCCGTGCTGGGGAGAGCGCTGGCGGCAACGAGCGTCCCGGCACCCCGGTGGCAGCCGTTGGCCACAACTCCTCTCGGTGGCGTGAGGTGGCCTCCCCCTGCGTGCCCTGCTGTGTGGCCCATTGGAGCGCGAGCTGCGGGGTGTGTGGTGGACTAAGCAATGGCACGGATGGCTCCATCAGATTCGCAGTCTTTATTTTGCAACCGGTAACGTGAACAAAGAAAATAAAGCGGGCAACAATACAACCCAGAATTGTTTGATCTAGTCAGCTGACATATAAAAAGTGCATTTATAATAAAATGTCATGCTACAAATTGTATAATCAAAGGTGTAAACTTTAAAAGAGACAAAATGTCTAAATTATTCCAGGAATTTAAACTTTTACGAATACTGTGCTGATAATCACACAGCGCGTTGCATCGTTAAATAAAGATGGCCACACTATGCTTGCGGGTGTACAAGACAAATAAAATAACAACACGCGAAAACTTCCATCGTAATCTCAACAAGTATTGACAATCAGCTCAACAACGAGACAATATACATTTCAAATCGGTAAACAGGCACTTGAGCAATGGCGTGGGTAGTGTGGGTCATATTTTCTACGTTTCATCATCAACCACATTCAGACATACGCATACAATTTTTTGTTTGACTCTTACTATATACAGACAAATACAAAACTATCATGGAATGGTATGTATGCAACTGTACCGTTGGCATACTCTCTTCTTAGACGTGGCATTCATGTGGGCCCTCGTGTGTGTTGCCACACCCAACAAATAAACTCAAACACACATCACTGGTCCGAGATCCGAAAATAACCATCACGGGCTTAACCATTTGGATGAAGATTTGTTAAAGTTCCATGAATATTTATGCAGATTAAATATATGCACGAGTGCAGTAACGATAGCATGAACAATTCTTTTTTTGTTAACATCATACATCTGGCGGTGATGACCGACACACAGGTGGAGATTTTGTAGAAGGCAGTAGTTGCAGGTCCACCCTGACCATGGCCAACTGGACAGAAGACCGCTCATGAATTGTGTCCGTCAATTCTTCAGGTGGCGCGTGCGCGGGGCACGTGACTACCCTCCCCGCAGGCGGCCCTGCATGGTGATGGTGGAGTGTTGCTGAATCCCGTACCACTCCAGCTTCTGATCGTCCTCCAGGGTGTGGATGCCGAAGGTGAGGATCTGCTGCTCTACCGGTATGCGCGCCTTCTGCTGGACCTTCTGCTTCAGTGAGAGCACCGAGTCTGAGAGCTTCACCTCTATCGTCAACGTTTTGTTCGCGAGCGTCTTCACGAAGACGTCAACGGCCTGCGTGGAATATGAAATGAAAAGTTAAACAATGCCGTCGCGTTACAAATGCCATCTTCACTTGGGCTACGCACCGAGTTTTTTTTATATTGCAGGCATATAGGCTGTTGTTAATTTAGAATGTCCATTCGTAGAATGGTGGCATAGGTGCTCTACCACCTGTTGGCTGGCTGGCTCCATAATGAATGTTACAGTGAACAGAAGAAGCCATTATCAGGCCATACTATTAAAGCAACGTAATGAGATGCAACATGACACTAATACACATCGAATCAGACTCAAGATAGCTGCAGTGAGTACCAGGGGATTAGTTTATAATGTCAGTGTTCTCGTCACTTCTGTAACTGCACGGGGGGTTCCTTGCAGTCGGGGGCGGCCCTAGACTAGTTTGCCAGCAACTGTCGCACTCGGAGAACCATGCAATCGGCACCCCCAAACCCCAAGGGCAGATCTAGGCTGAGGTTTTTGATAAACTGGGGAACATTTTGCCCGTATTTTCCACTTCATGTTTTTAAGCGTATTGTTTTAAACAGAGGCATAATTATATGGTTTGTCCGTCTGTCCAAGCAATAAATTCTCAAATGTTGATGAAATTAATTATAATTCATATTCCTTCTGTGCATGCACGGGAATTGAAATAAGTGACACAATTATTATTTTATTTGTATATATTTTTTTTTACTCGAATTTGGTGCCTCACTTAACGTGGCACCCGAGGTAACCGCCTAGGTCGCCTATATGGATGGGCCGCCCCTAGCTTGCACTCAGAGTAGTGAATGAGCTGTGTTATCCGTGGCCTGCAAGAGACTTTAAAAAGTCAAATTCGACCCTCGGTAAGGAAAATGTTCCTTAGCCCTACCCGAGATCAAGGCTGGCTGAAACAGAAAGGCATTCACAAAGTCACTTTTCTAAATTAGTTTTTAGCATTTTCTCACACCGACCCAGAGGTCGCGTTGGCGATTCCGAGTGCGTGGCAAGCGGCTCTGCTTACGTGGTCCACGTGAAGCAGGTTGACGATGGCATTCTGCTTCAAGCCGCACTTGGCGAGGGTGGTGGCGTCCTGCAGCGCGGCGCCCCCGTAAGCGAGGCGCTGCTGAGCGGGCGACACCTTCCACTTGCTCTGGATCCTGGCTTTCAGCGCCAGCACCGACTCGGACAGCTTCACCATCAGCCTCAGGGACTTCCCCTCCAGGTCCTTCACGACGATCTGCACGACCTGCGTTGGGGAACGGGGGTGACGGGAGAGTGTACGGCATTTATTTTCAACGAAGGGTGACACGCACGTGAATAGTCTACAGCTATCCACTTAAAGTGCTCTACAATACAATGCGTTGGTGATTTTTACTCGGCACGTGGGGCTCAGGCTTGGCAGATTTTTGATTACCCCATGAGAATACAGTTAAAAGAAAACAAATATTAAAACATTCAGATTGCACTGTAATTTTTTCACCAAGATGTATCGTGTAGAAATATGTAAATAACCATTACACGTAAAATAACAAGTCACGCTTCAGCTTGCATTTGCCATCTACGTTGCGTTCTGTTTGATGTACAGTCTAACAGCACAGTTTCATTCACAGCCTGTACGTGTCCACACATCTGCATGCACGCAAATATTGTTGCGATGTTGCCGTCGGCCTTCAGCCATTGGCAAAAATATTGTTAACTTCACAAAGTTGCCCGGTGTGAATATAAGAAGTGTATCCGGTAGGTCAGTGGCATTGTGTGGTTGCACCTGGTGCAGCTACACCACTGCTGTTGCGCCTGCCTGCCTGCGTGCCTGCGTGCCTGAGTGCCTGCGTGCCTGCCTGCCTTGCGTTCCACTCACGTCGTTTGGGTTCTTCATCATCGCGAGCAACATCGTCTTCATTTCGCTGCTGGGCGCCTCCTCGACGCCAACGACCGTGATCCTCTCCGGATCCCAGACGCAGTCCTCCTCCAGCTCGCTGGTCACCATCCCGCAGCCCCGCGGCACCCAGGCGGTGTCGTAGCCCTCGTCGTGCCAGGTGAGACGCAGGGGGTGGTCCTGGCCGTCGATTTTCTTCACGCGCCCCACGTTCACCCTGAGCTTCAGAATCACTTTGACGTTCTCGGGCTTCCCAATCGGATACCGCCTCGCCTTCTCGATGTCGCGGCTCACGTAGACGCCGGGCCCCAGCATGCCGCGCTCGGACCGCCTGAAGCCCTGCGCGAGGATGCCGCGTGCCCCCTGCGCGTCGGTGCCGTGGTACATGATGTAGCGCCGGTCATCCTTGGGGCTCTCTCCTCTCTGCAGGGTGCAGGGGACATTGCGGTCGCCGATGGTCTCGGAGCAGTCCATCGTCGTGGAGCGGTGAAGGCGAGAGGATCTGTAGGCGGTGCTGAGAAACGCAGCACGATCTTGGTGAAAACGCAGCCTCACAGTTTAAAACCACGAGCAGACGAAACGGCACTTTGTTAATTCGTCACCATTGGCTACGTTCGTATTTGTCGAGCAACCTCGTGTGGCAAAGTTACAAACAGATGGAGCCTATTGCTGCAAAACTTAATGTAACATAAACACCTACAACTATTTTGTTAAACCCACTGCTGGATGAGGAGTTCCCCAATCCTCGGCGGTCGTCGGGGTTATTTGACCATACTTCACCAACGCACAACCCACAACCTGTTGTTGCACTGCACGCAGCCGGGCTCCGCTCTACGCAAGAGGCAGCATCGGCAGAGAGCGCAGCGACCGCGGGTATCTCACCTGTTCCGAAGGAGGAGAGGCTGCTTGTGTCCCTGCCGTTGCGCGCTGCCCTCCTTTTAAAGTCGCGCACGCGCCTCCCCCTCCTAGCGCAGAGCCCCGGGGCTGGGGAATCCACGCAGAGCCTCTCCGACTGAGTTCAATCCGCACCGCGGTGTGGGCTCCTCCCAGCCGCCAGCCCTCCCTTTCGGGTTTCCGAAACCTGCCTCTGTTTGTGACCATGGTGCTGGAGGTTTGACAGCAGAGGTCCTACTCCGAATCAGTCGGGCGCCACTATATTTCCATCGGCTGCGCAATGTTGTGTGGAAGCTCCCTCGTCTGTCGCTCCGCAAGACACTTCGGGTCTTCTCGACCACAGTCATGCCCTCCCTTTTCTATGCGTGAAACATTCAGGCTGGCATGCCTGCGATCCATCCTGGGTTTAACCAGGCTGGATTGTGTGAGGAGCTCACAAATCCTTGAAATATCTGGACACAGTGAGCTCCTCCGGCAGGCAAGGCTGCATTGGCTGGGTCATGTAGCCCGCATTCCCAGCCACCGCATGCCCAAGCAGCTTTTGTTTGGCCGCATCGAGGGGGCTAAACGGGCACGACATGGGTTAGTGAAGAGATGGAGTGATGCGGTATGGGAGGATGTGGAGTTGAGTGGACTTGCCGACGACTGGTACCGGCGGTGTCAAGATCGGCCTCTGTGGAGGAGGTTCGTGAAGGACGCCGCTGCTGCTGGGCAGTTGGAGGCAGTCGCCCTCCAGCAACAACGGAGAGCAGAGGAGCGACGCTCACTACAACGAGCGGAGCGCCGGCCGTCTAAAATGCAGCACAGTCGTGGCACAGGTGGTGCATCGGCCAGTCCTCTCAGTCGGCTAACCCATGGCGGCACCTGGGTCTGTCGCGAGACCTCCTGTCAGCGAGATTTCGACACTTCACGTGGCCGCGAAGTGCACCTAGCCTGGTACAGGCGCCGTGGTGACGTCACCGTCACTTAGTGGCGAGTGGCGCGGAATTGGTATTTGGGGGGGAGGGCGAGGAATGGGAGGTGGAGCGAAGAGTGGGGGGCGAGGAGTGGGGGGGGGAGCGAAGAGTGGGGGGGGGGCGAGGAGTGGGGGGGGGCGAGGAGTGGGGGGGGGCAAGGAGTGGGGGAGCGAGGAGTGGGGGGAGCGAGGAGTCGGGGCGGGGGCGAGGAGTGGGGTGGGGGGAGCGAGGAGTGGGGGGGTGGCGATGATGGGGGGGGGAGGGGGGCGAAGAGTGGGGGGGGAGCGAAGAGTGGGGGGGGAGCGAAGAGTGGGGGGGGAGCGAAGAGTGGAGGGGGAGCGAAGAGTGGGGGGGGAGCGAGGAGTGGGGGGGGCGAGGAGTGGGCGAGGAGTGGGGGGAGCGAGGAGTCGGGGGGGGGGAGCGAGGAGTCGGGGGGGGGGTCGAGGAGTGGGGTGGGGGGGGCGAGGAATGGGGGGGGGCAAGGAGTGGGGGGGGGCGAGGAGTGGGGGGGGGCGAGGAGTGGGGGAGCGAGGAGTGGGGGGAGCGAAGAGTCGGGGGGGGGGGAGCGAAGAGTCGGGGGGGGGGCGAGGAGTGGGGTGGGGGGAGCGAGGAGTGGGGGGGGGCGATGATGGGGGGGGAGTGGGGGGTTTCGGTGGTTTCCCGACACCCGCCGCGTCATCAGCGCTGTGCCGCGCCCGCTCTCACACCGGTCCGTGCCGACGCAATGTTTGGAGACGTTTTGTCATCGTTGTCTCTCTGTTCGGACGAGCAATTGGTCGGCATTAATCTCCGCCGGTTTCCCTGAGCCAGTGGTGGATATTCAACATTCCTATGCTCGGGCCAGTTCGTCCACAGCACTCCCGTGACGTTCCTGTAAAATCGTGCACCCCTTTGAGATCCGTGAATTCAGTGGAGTTGTCACAAGTGCCGGTTTTCTCAGAAGGTCATCTTCGTCTCTCCACCACTCCGTGGCATCACCTCAACACAAACATGTCGTAGGGTCATCGCATCGGCTGCGATAGCCCAAGTTGTAAGTCGCCTGCAACAGACCCTGCACACACGCAAGCAACTGCGTGTGTGCATGCACTCCTATTGTTGTTCTTCCCCGCACCTCCGATTATCGAGATTAAGTTCAACCTACGTGTACGGTTATATAATGCACGATGCATGGCAGTGACCACGTAGCGTCTCTGCACTTGCGAGGCGAAGTGGGCTGGAGATGGCCTTCGGGCACCGATGCGCTCTGGCTGCGTGACGTGGATTCTTGAATTCCACGCGAATTCGGCGAAATGAAGTCGAGGGTGACATCGCTCGTGCGATGCGCTGTGCATGCAAGCGGGCAGCCTCGCTTCGATTACCCATTGGGGCGTTGCCTTGCAAATAGTGACGAGGCTAGTCTATTGAGTAATAGAGCAGCGTGAACAATACTGTCGTCTTATTTATAGATCGTGACGCAGTAGTCACAGCCTCGTGGACACAATAACAAGAGTGCCCAGTGCATGTTGCGGCGAGCCGCGCTTCGAACCCGGGGCCACAGAGAGAAGTTCGATTCCTGACCATGGCCAACGTCGGTGGTGAGGGATATCTGTACTGGATCCGGCCCGACACGACCCCTTATCCACCAACACTGACAACGGCACGGTAAAACAACCCCCGTCACCAACAAAGGCGTTTTGAAGGCCTTCATTCAGCAGTGGATTAGCAGAGACCTGTGGATGTATTACTCTTACAGTTGAATGCGAGGGGATGACACCAAAACTGAACGCAGAGTCGTTCATGAGGCACGAATTTGCTCTCCTGCTACTGACAAGCATTGCCCTGGAGTTGGTGATCTCACGCAATCGTGTTCTCATCTCTTCGTGACCCACCAACGCCCACCGCACCCCGACTATAATCCAGTCATCAGCCGCCATGCAAAACAAAGTGCAATGTTTGATTCTCACGATGACGACGTTTTATTTTAATAACGCTTAGTTTTAGAACATTAACTTTATTTTCATTAACATATCACATACCGTACGAGTGCTGTGGTATGTTATACACGTGTGTTACACACGTGGGGTTTGACGTGGTTATACCAACACCGCCTCGTTCGCTGGTGTGCCACACTGTCGGGAGAAGGCAGTGCAAGCACAATTCATTGTCGTACTGTACTATGCTCCAACGTCTATGGTCCCCACCTTAACTGAACCCGCAGTGACCGGCGCGGCGAAGTTTATGGTCTTGCAACCTCCACGACCCATAATGGCGTGCAGGAGGGCGCGCATCCAGCGGTGAAATTATCAAAGCGACTGGATCCGTGGCGCATTGCAAAGGCTCTCATTCCACGTGGCGCACGGGCTTGCACCGTGCACGTCGCGTGACGTTCCGTCTTCTGTTTGCTGGAACTGACGTCGCCTGGTTCGCGGTTAATAATCAACCGACTGCTGTTCATGACCTGACCACAAAACAAGCGTCAGACGCGAGAAGCTGCCACGTGTCTGTCCCGTCGGCTAATTTCATGGCGCATGTCTTCTTTAGTGGCTTCTGACCTGTAAATACAGTGTACATATATATAATCGCACATTCCATTAGATTCAAGGTAGAGTGAAAACACTCTTGGTATGGGAAATGTTGCGTGTGCTTACTATTGCAAACTCAAAATAACAATTCGCGTCGTTGTGGAAAATATGAATGGGTTAAATGTGCAATGTCTCCTTAATATTCCCGTCTCTCCACGTAAAAACAAAAGTATTTCGTAAACAGTCCATCCATATGCTTGTAAGGTGGACAGCTACCAGCATTGATTCAAGTCTGACTGCTGATGAGACACTGCATGTCGAAACCGGGTTATGCTTGCACGATGCGTATTTGAATCAATGTCGCTGAAATTGTGCCCTCCCAGAAGGCCCTCTGGGTGATGGGTTGTAGAATAAAAATGTGTTTACGTTTTCTTATGCCGAGAGCCGGATATGTGACGGCAGCGTTATCTGTCAGCGCTCACGCGGGGGAGCAGTGGCGCAGTGGTTAGCGCACAGTGTCATGCTGCCGGCCACGTGGGTTCAATCTGGGTCACGAGTGACGTTTGAATCGATGCTACGCCATCGCCATCTTTCCCCTCCCCCCAACAAAGACAACGATTCCTCCTATAGCCTTTAACTGACTCGGGGCAAGTGATGTTAGCGAGCACCTACGAAGGCCGGAATAATACACGAGGGGGTGAGTGGCCAGCACCACGCCCGACCGCCTTTATCTTCCCAATGGCAATGTTTACACACCGCACCAGATATTATACTCATTTTAGGCTGAGTCGACCTCCGGGGAGACTCAGGACTAGTTCAGATAATCGTCACTGGCGTTGGCCGTGAGCGGAAATCGAACCCGGCTCGCCGGGTTCGTAGCACAGCGCGTTAACCGCTACACTACCGCTTCCCCCACCGCACCCTCACGCACACAATTTCACCACCCCGCACACAGTTAGTGAAGTATGGTCAAACAACGTACATGGCCGAGACAATCTGGAGAGCCCTTCCAACAGTAGATTGACCAACAGGCTGTGCATATGACAGATTGTTTTTATTATTCCATTCATTATGTAAAGGTTGTGGAACCCTTTTAACTAGGTTTTTTCAAACAGACACATAACCAAACCTTTTGCAATGTGACATGTTTTGTGTGAAACGTGTGGCTTTAAAGTGTTTTTGTGATTGCTCTCGCACGTGATATTTATACACAGGTCTGTCGATTTATACCGAGTCGGTGCTGGGCACCTCTCAACTTTATCAACCAACGTTGGCCACCGTGGTGAAGTATGGAAGTATGGTTAAGCGGTGTCCATGACCAACACGTTGTTGAACGGCCAAAAGGGCTTTACACATTTTTTTTTATTGCAGGTACATCCAGCTGTCGACAGACGATAACGCGTGAGTAGTTGCGTGCTCTTCACCTGCGAGCCTGCCCCACATGTGCATTCAGATTGAATTGGTTCCTTGCATGCAGTTGAATTCTTTAATGTTGATTTTTGCACTCTGCACTTCACGCCAAGAAATAGGCGCAGCATTGCGCGACTTACTCGAGGTTCAATGAGCTCGGTTGCCCCGCAAACCCTGGACGTTTGGCACGCTCACAAGCACGGAGCATGGAGTCGGAAGCACTACTACCATTACAAATCCATTGGGGATATTGCGTTTGGCAGTGGCAGCACAATTAACAAAACCACACCAAACAACTTTGTTATATCCACCACCTTAAAAAGGAAATTATATAAGAGGCGACGTTTCATGCAAACGCCCTAGTGAGTTGCTGCCAAAAAGGGTCGTTTCCCAAAAGATTACTTATTTATATAAACTCTTATTTTAGGGCAGTGTTGTTATTAACAATTTGAGTTTTTGTTCTAATGCAGGACATCTCTGGGCAAAGCCATTATTGGTGCCTCATGTTCTTCCTCTGCGTTCCTGGTCCTCTTTCTCCGCTCATTCAAATACCGTGCTTAAACCATTTCCACGTTCATTCGACACCATCCTTCATATCCTCGCCACTTTAAACCACTTTCCTGTTGGCCAGGTACTTCCATGTTCATCATCTTCGTCCCATTGATGAGTTTCCTCTCTTCCTACGACAGCCATCTAAAACGACTTTCTTTCAACTTCACTGAGAGATGGGTGATCTATTTTGATGTTAACCAAGCAGGGAATGCGTGTAAGGCATATTCGTAAACATGAAACCACACGAAGTTTCCTTAAAGTAGAAATATATTTATTGTTTATATATTTGCGAGAGACAATTGAACAATATAGTCGAACAATGTGCAAGTAGCATTGACTTAGTGTCTAAATTCGCAGTTCATTTAAATATGCAATAACGGAAAAGGACATTTGGGAATCTGTGGATCTGGCTAAGTCGCGCCTTTTGGCGTCATCTGGTCCAACACCATGTGAGACTAGGCTCTAAGGAAAGCTGTCTCGGGTGTGGACCAATCAACTTCAAGGACAGTGCATACATTATCAGAGTTATGTGTTTTGTTTGCATTACGACTGCAGGTATTGTGGTCTATGCTAACATGACTCCTTGTAAAAAAAGGTGTCACTTATGTTGCCAGATAAAAGGGTAAAAAAACAATTATCATATTTTTTCTTCTGGCAAATGAGGTTCCAATGGTCTGGCTAAGTCGTTACACTGTGTATCATGATCCCTCGGCACAAAAACTCACACCACGGTGAGTGCAGTTTGAGAAGTCGCGTCGACTCGAAAACAATCGAGGCTAAGGTCACATTCATCTCAAACGTGAGCCACGTGCGTGATTTGTCTGGCTTTAGGCTTGCCCTCCGCGCAGGCGGGCTTGCAATTGGATGGTGCTTTGTGCCCTGATCTTGTAGGAACGCAGTGTGCGTTGGTCTTCCAGCTGCCGGCTCTCGAAAGTGAGAATCTGCTCCCTGGGGGGCACTCCCTCCTTCCGATGGACTTCCACCTTCAGCTGCTGCACCCGGTCCGAGAGGCTCACGTCGTACGTCCGGGTGCTCCCTTGAAAGTTCACCACGAAGATCTGGACGGTCTGCAGTGAGGACAAAGAGGTAATATTAACACAAAATAACGAGCAGGACACACGACAATTGAGCACGCACGTGAACCTGCGTACACACGCCTATTTCCACAGGCAATCCTGTGTCAGCCGTTGAAATTACACAGAACGTGATTGAACAATGTGCATCCAAATGTGATTTATATATGGGCACTGGTTCAATACTCGTATCATTCATAACGTAGACGTCTCATTCACAACATCCCTTACTGAAGCACATAAGTGCCGTTTACTTGACACGTACTTTGGATGGCATCCTAATCTTTTCCCGTAGAGTGGCGATTTGTCCAACAGGCGCCTCCTCGATGCCAATGACCTTGACCCTCTCCGGGTCCCACACGCAGTCCTCCTCCAGATGGCTGATCACCATTCCGCACCCTGCGGGCACCCAGGCGGTGTCGTAGCCCTTGTCGTGCCAGGTGAGACGCAGGGGGTGGTCCTGGCTGTCGATCTTCTTGACCTTGCCCACATCCACCTCCAGCTTTAGGATGACCTTCAGGTGATCCTCCGTGTTCAGCGGGTACCGTCTGGCCTTGTCGATGTTGCGGCTCACGTACACGCCACGGCCCAGCATGCCGCCGGCAGACTGTCTGAAGCCCTCGGAGAAGATGGCTTTGGCCGAGGCCACGTTGGTGCCGTGGTACATGATGTAGACGCGGTCATCCGTGGGCGTCAAGCCCGCTTGGAGCGACCACGTGGGCGCGATGGTTTCCGAGGCAATTGTCTCGGGATTCATGATGGAGCAGAGAATGGAAGAAACTCGTTCACTATTGTAAACAAAAGCAAAAGGCGTAGATATGTCAGAGCTGACTGCAAATGCAATACAATTGCACAGTCCACACTTACAGAATGTCTACATGTGAGTGCAGCTCAAGATGCACGACATATAGGGGGTACGGGGGGGGAGGGCTCCGAATGGAGGATGGGTTTCTCTTGAACTTGTCATGATTTTTGCAAGCGGCAGGGGGAAGCGGAGAGAATATGGAAAGGAGGCAAACATCCTTGTTCAAATATTATTTTCGAGGCCTAAATGTTATAATACTACATTACAGCCCTTTTGTCAATAGTCGCGGGTGGGTAACTCGTATGGCCGATTCCTACCCACTGCCACTCGGCACACTAAGTCGGCTATCACTATCCCAGTCTCACCCGTTCGCTTGTTTTGATGTTACACACTCACACTGTCGCTGATCTCTCTTCTTGTCTCTATATCATTTTCTAGATTGAACACTCATGTCTTTGGAAATATTTTTTTGTGTTTAGTTTGTTGTCTTACCTCCGCACCTCCGATTAGCACGGTTTGCTACGTACGGTGCGAACGAGGTTCAACATACAAATTTGAGATGTATTTTAAAACCAGTTAAATAATAAAATGACACTGCAATAAGCAAGTTTCATACCAAAATTAAATGTCCATGTTATGTTTAACATGGTTTGTCATTGCTCACGTAACATTTCCGTAAATAATAAAGGACTGTACATCAATACGTAGCACATCGTTGCACTGGATAGACCTGCTTTATTTCTTAAACTGAAGCGTCAATGTGCTTAAACAAGATGCTTCAGTTACACACGTGCACCTAGAACTCAGCTCCTACGAAAAAAAATCAGAGGCTCTTAAATTACCACTCACCTGCAGTTGTGAGACTTCTACAGTCCGCCGTGTTCGTTCGGGAGGAAGATGTCGGATATTGACGACTCGCTACTCGCGAGCTGATCTTTATACTCGTGGGTCACACCGTCACCCAGCTGTTCGTGAATTCCCCGAAAAGGTGACGGACCTCAACGCGGCGCGTTTGATTAGCCGCGTAACTTCCAAAACCCCCACGAGTTCGTGCGTTCCTCGACTTTTGCCGTCGATTAAGAATCGCTTCTTGGCAAATACGGCGGCGTCAGCCGATGAGGGCGTGACGGCGTTTTACGATTTAGCCCCTGGCGCTGCGTGCACTGCTGACGGCCTATTGTGTTGAGTGCGATATTGACACGTACACAAATAAAGTTTGATTCGTAGTGCCCCGCTCGCTGCATAAGGGTCTCTGCACGAACCGTCAGCGGTGACGTCCATTCAAACAAAAGCTCAACACGCGGTCGTCAATAACACTGTCCTAAAAAATAAAAAAAAGTATAAGAACAAGCGACCTTTCGGGCAAAGTGGCCCTTTATTCGTCGGGGATACATAGTCTGTGCCTGTTTAGCACTGCCGACGGAACCTTCACATGAAAGTTAAATACAAATGTATGACAACCAGGCAAGAGATCCATTGGGTCCGGAGTGGTGGTGCGGTGTTGAGCGTACGGCACTAAGAACCCAGCGACCTTTGCTCGAATCCCAACAATGGCTTACGTACGTGGCGAGTGGTGTCCACTTCACCAACCCGAAATGACCATTGTGATCAATTATAGTCAACCCCCCCCCCCCTCCCAACCGAAATGGTATGGGGAGGCCTTCATCCAGTAGCGGATTAAGCTTGAATGAAAAGAGAGCAACACTCACCCCTCCCCCCCCCTTCTCCGCATCTTCCCAAATTCTGACTTTAATTCAGTGCAATCACGTAACCATTTAAGGCCGAGTCAACCTAGGGGGGTGGCTCCGACAAGTGTAGACACACCTCGCCACACGGACTCTGTGCATGGCCATGACACGGAACCAAACTCTGCCTGTTGCTCTTGCGTACTGCAAGTCGATGCGCGTCCTCCACGCGCGTCATTGCCGGGTTTCTGGTGATGTCAATCTTTGCGCACTCCGGTGGATGTTGACATCGTCAATGCTGGCAGCATCACGTGCTTGCTGACAGCGCCGTGGTGCGAACTGAGCGTTTCGGGTCGTAAGCCCGGGTTGGTGGCTTGGCACGGGGCACTCACACGCTCGCTTTGTGCCGTGTCGAAGCCTCCTCTCTCTCGGTTTTCCCCTTGAGCGCCACCTCCACCAGGGATATATCTCTTACCTTGTGGGTTCTGGAGCGTTTAGCGGCGCCCCCTTTGTTGTCTGTGGTGTAGAAGAAACGAAATGTGTTTTTTTCTTCTTGGTTCTTTCGGTAAAGTCACGTAGAAGGGAAATAATAAAATAATAAAAATAAAACATTATAAAATAAAATTCTCACGACGTTTCGGCCACAACGCAAGCAGCCGTCCTCAGGTGAAGAACAGGGCTGTCGGAAAGACAGCGTCCGAATGAGACAGCCCTGTTCTTTACCTGAAGACGGCTGCTTGCGTTGTGGCCGAAACGTCGTGAGAATTTTATTTGTTTATTATTTTTTATTATTTTATTATTTCCCTTCTACGTGACTTTACCGAAAGAACCAAGAAGATGAATCCCTGCAGTCACGAAAGCTTTAAATAGAAATGTGTTTTGAGGATGTAACGTACGTGTGTTGCCCACTTGGGCAACAACTGGTGTTGACTGCTGCGGTTTCCTCGTTCATGGAGCGCGACTCGTGATGAAGAATGCGATTTCAAACACAATAGAACAAAACTTAGAACTGCGTCACAATGTGTGGTCTAATATTGGTCGCGAAAACCAACGTTAACCCGACAACGTATGGTCTACATTTCTTAAAATCTTTCACCGCAACTGGAGCACACGGGCAGACCTTTTAATCGTGCCTCTAACGTATACGGCATTGAGTTGCCTATTAACACGGGCAAAGCTCACGGTACAAAGAGAACACGCTAATCGCAGGTGACATTTCAGTGTTATTCAAATGCGGGTCTGCTCACGTAACTGGAAAATAGCTTCACACTGCCTCAAGGCAAAACGTAGAGTACACATGTTATTGTGGGCACAGGCGAGGTGGGTGAAATGGGGTAGGCATTTATTAACGAGGGGAACAAACACAAACTAAAGTAATGTAAACCAACAGTCGATATTCAGACATTTAATTCGCAAACTGCCTGATATAATTTCGTTCCGCGTGCATTTTTGTACAAGGGTGTCCGTATTTCGCTCACTAAAACGCCCCTTGCTGTCACAATTCCCTCCCGCACCCTGTCATTGTCCCTCAATCATTTACCCTCACACCCAATAGGTCTTTACTCCCAGTAGGCAAGTGCCTTGTAGGATTTCTCGTCCATGAGTCGGATTGTTCAATCCACCATCTTCGCTGTTAATGAACTGCTTTCTTATTCGTGTTCAACGATACAGAATACATGACGTCGTATTCTTAGGTTTTTTCGGTAAAGTCACGTAGGTAAAAAAATAAAAATTATAAAAGTTAAATAAAAATAAAATAAAAATCACGACGTTTCGGAGGCAACACAAGCTTCCGTCTTCAGGTGGAAGAGTCACAGCACGATAGCGGTACAGCTATCGTGCTGTGACTGCTGTGACTGTTCCACCTGAAGACGGAAGCTTGTGTTGCCTCCGAAAGGTCGTGATTTAAATTTTATTTTTTATTCTAATTTTATTAATTTTAATTTTTTACCTACGTGACTTTACCGAAAAAACCTAAGAATATGAATCCTTGCAGTCACGAAAGCTTCAAATCTAGAACATGACGTCGTGTTTTTGTTCTGATTGCCTTCGTTGCTGCTTTTGCCATGTTGGTGACTCGGGTTGCTCTTGCAAACGGCTCGTGCTGGTGTCTTGAGTTCGCATCGGGTTACACAAAATAAACATGATACTGTACTTGAAATGTATTAATCGCTTTGTCTCTATGGCCTATGTACGCTGAATGGTTATTACCTTTCTTTAAAATGTCGCTGATTATATATTTTTCCTTTTAAGGCGGAGTTGACCAATTTGTTGATTTTTTTGTTTGGCTATTTGTGCTTGTGCACTGCTGCCAATACAATATCGCCAAATAATGTTTACCAATGATTGGTGTTGGCTGTTTTCAGCGATTCGATCGACACACCACATCCATCTCCAAGTAGGAACCACAATTGCACCATTAGAGTCAACATGATACGTGGAGAGAGCATTGCCAATGGTGGTTTATTTCATATTTAGGAACCACTCGATATACAGAACAGATGCGTCCATGAAAAGTTATCCGTAAAGCGAAATTCGGTTTATCGAACCTCGTTTTCCCACTGACTTCAATCTACTGGACACATCTATGAAAAAAGAGCTTCATAGCTCATTGGATTTCTTCAGGATACTAAAACATTTTCATCTAAGAATAAAAATAAATGAATATGAAAACGGAACAACACAAAGCACCGAACCCACGAGGAGGCGAGCGAACCACGTGCAGCGCTGCTGGGACATGCGACAGAGACCCCCCTCCCTGTACTGTTCGTGCACTCTTTCATTTTCCTACCCCCCCTTCCCCCATAAAATATTTTAATGTCAAGATTCCAAAAATTCCATTATTGCGAAATGAACGTAACGTATGTCGAAGTTCGCTCATCCCACAATTTAAAAGTTTACGTTGCGTAGAGAAATTCGTGCCATTGAGTTGCCGTCATAGCGAGGGATGACAACATTTTAGGCACGTGTCATTGTGGTTACAGTGCCGCACTCACAAACGCCGGCTGGGGTTGAAAGTCAACCAATCGCCTCCATGGGACGGTAACGTAAATAGACCTTTGCAGGAAGTTCACAGGGGCAGTTCTGCAAAGGTCATGTTCCCGCCATGGGAATGTGGAATGCTCCCCACCGGCTCAGCGGAACCCGTGCAGTGAGGCGTGAGAGCGAGCGCGTGTTGTGTTCAGAAAGTGCGCGCGTAGCGGTGATGACGCGGCGGGTTTCGGGAAACCACCGAAAGCGAAATCCCTCCTCGCCCCACCCCTCTCCTCCTCGCCCCCCACCTCCAGCACCACAGTCACAACGAACAGCAGCAGCGGCACGTTTCGGAAACCCGAAAGGGAGGGCTGGCGGCTGGGAGGAGCCCACACCGCAGGTGCGGATTGGACTCAGTGGGAGAGGCTCTGCGTGGATTCCCCAGCCCCGGGGCTCTGCGCTTGGAGGGGGAGGCGCGTGCGCGACTTTATAAGGAGGGCAGCGCGCAACGGCAGGGACACAAGCAGCCTCTCCTTCTTCGTCTCCTTCTTCTTCTCTTGCGAGACGAGTCACGTGGAACAGGTGAGATACCCGCGGTCGCTGCGCTCTCTGCCGATGCTGCCTCTTGCGTAGAGCGGAGCCCGGCTGCGTGCAGTGCAACAACAACAACAACAGGTTGTGGGTTGTGCGTTGGTGAAGTATGGTCAAATAACCCCCACGACCGCCGAGGATTGGAGAACTCCTCATCCAGCAGTGGGTTTAACAAAATAGCTGTAGGTGTTTATGTTAGATTAAGTTTTGCAACAATAGGCTACATCTGTTTCTAACTTTGCCACACGAGGTTTCTCGACAAATACGAACGTAGCCAATTGTGACGAATTAACAAAGTGCCGTTTCGTCTGCTCGTGGTTGTAATTGCGAGGCTGCGTTTTCACCAAGATCGTGCTGCGTTTCTCAGCACCGCCTACAGATCCTCTCGCCTTCACCGCTCCACGACGATGGACTGCTCCGAGACCATCGGCGACCGCAATGTCCCCTGCACCCTGCAGAGAGGAGAGAGCCCCAAGGATGACCGGCGCTACATCATGTACCACGGCACCGACGCGCAGGGGGCACGCGGCATCGTCGCGCAGGGCTTCAGGCGGTCCGAGCGCGGCATGCTGGGGCCCGGCGTCTACGTGAGCCGCGACATCGAGAAGGCGAGGCGGTATCCGATTGGGAAGCCCGAGAACGTCAAAGTGATTCTGAAGCTCAGGGTGAACGTGGGGCGCGTGAAGAAAATCGACGGCCAGGACCACCCCCTGCGTCTCACCTGGCACGACGAGGGCTACGACACCGCCTGGGTGCCGCGGGGCTGCGGGATGGTGACCAGCGAGCTGGAGGAGGACTGCGTCTGGGATCCGGAGAGGATCACGGTCGTTGGCGTCGAGGAGGCGCCCAGCAGCGAAATGAAGACGATGTTGCTCGCGATGATGAAGAACCCTAACGACGTGAGTGGCACGCACGCACGCAGGCACTCAGGCACGCAGGCACGCAGGCACGCAGGTACGCAGGCATGCAGGCAGGCAGGCACGCAGGCACGCAGGCCCACCAGCAGTGGTGTAGCTGCACCAGGTGCAACCACACAATACCACTGACCTACCGGATACACTTCTTATATCTGTACCAGGCAACTTTGTGAAGTTGACAATATTTTTGCCAATGGCTGAAGGCCGACGGCAACATCGCAACAATATTTGCGTGCATGCAGATGTGTGGACACGTACAGGCTGTGAATGAAACTGTGCTGTTAGACTGTACATCAAACAGACCGCAACGTAGATGGCAGATGCAAGCTGAAACGTGACTTGTTTTTTTACGTTAAATGGTCATTTACATATTTCTACACGATACATCTTGGTGAAAACATTACAGTGCAATCTGAATGTTTTAATATTTGTTTTCTTTTAACTGTATTCTCATGGGGTCGTCAAAAAGCTGCCAAGCATAAGCCCCACGTGCCGAGTTAAAAAAGTTGCCAACGCATTGTAATGTACACCACTTTAAGTGGATAGCTGTAGACTATTCACGTGCGTGTCACCCTTCGTTGAAAATAAATGCCGTGCACTCTCCCGTCCCCCCCGCTCCCCAACGCAGGCCGTGCAGATCGTCGTGAAGGACCTGGAGGGGAAGTCCCTGAGGCTGATGGTGAAGCTGTCCGAGTCGGTGCTGGCGCTGAAAGTCAGGATCCAGAGCAAGTGGAAGGTGTCGCCCGCTCAGCAGCGCCTCGCTTACGGGGGCGCCGCGCTGCAGGACGCCACCACCCTCGCCAAGTGCGGCTTGAAGCAGAATGCCACCGTCAACCTGCTTCGCGTGGACCACGTAAGCAGAGCCGCTTGCCACGCACTCGGAATCGCCAACGCGACCTCTGGGCCGGTGTGATAAAATGCAGAAACAAATTTAGAAAAGTGACGTCGTTAATTCATTTCTGTTTCAGCTAGCCTTGCACTCGGGTTGGGCTTAGGAACATTTTCTTTACCGAGGGCCAAAATTGACTTTCAAAGGCCTTTTGCAGGCCACAGATAAACACAGTTCAGTTACAACTCAAGGCACCCCGTGCTGTAACAGAAGTGACCGAGAACACTGAAACTAGAAAGAGGTTGCACACAATCCCCGTTGGTGCCCACGTAATGCAGCTCGCACGCAGTCGGGTTCGCTGTGCGTATTGAAGTGCCACGTTGTTGCATTACATTTCAAAGCATTGATAGTACGGCCTGACAATGGCTTCATCTATTGATTTAAAGCTTTCGTGAATGCAAGGTTTCATCTTCTCGGTTCTTTCGGTAAAGTCACGTGACTTTACCGAAAGAACCAAGAAGATAGACCGTAACATTCATTGTGGAGCCAGCCAGCCAACAGCACATATGCCACCATTCACTTGGTGGCAATTGTAAATTAACAACAGCCTGTATGCCTGCAATTAAAACTCAGCGCATAGCTTGAGACCCTTAGTGTTCTATTTAAGACCGGAAACAGGTGGATTGTTTCACTATTTTGGAAAATCGCCCGATGATGCTGGATGTAATTACCATTGAAACGTCGCACTCAAGTTGTAAATGTTGTTGATTTACTCTCCAACACACCGGTGGGTTGAAGTAGTAACTAATTTGCGTTTTGTTTACGTGACAAATGCCATACTATTTGGCTGTGTTGGGTGGTGGAGGGTTACGACCCATTTGGCTTATGCGATCTCACCCAAAACCTTTATTATGAATAATATTGGTCCTAAAAGCTTACGTGTTCAACTAGCCGAAGTGAAGATGGCATTTGTAACGCGATGGCATTTTTGTAACTTTTCATTTCATTTTCCACGCAGGTCGTTGACGTCTTCGTGAAGACGCTCGCGAACAAAACGTTGACGATAGAGGTGAAGCTCTCCGACTCGGTGCTCTCACTGAAGCAGAAGGTCCAGCAGAAGGCGCGCATACCGGTAGAGCAGCAGATCCTCACCTTCAGCAGCCGCACCCTGGAGGACGATCAGAAGCTGGAGTGGTACGGGATTCAGCAACACTCCACCATCACCATGCAGGGCCGCCTGCGGGGAGGGTAGTCACGTTCCCCACGCACGCGCCACCTGAAGAATTGACGGACACAATTCATGAGCGGTCTTCTGTCCAGTTGGCCATGGTCAGGGTGGACCTGCAGCCACTGCCTTCTACAAAATCTCCGCTTGTGGGTGGTCATCACCGCCAGATGTACGATGTTGACAAAAAAAACTGTTCATCCTATCGTGGCTGCACTCGTACATATATTTAATTTCCATAAATATTCATGGGACTTTTACAAATCTTCATCCAAATAGTTAAGCCCGTGATGGTTATTTTCGGATCTCGGACCAATGATGTGTGTTTGAGTTTACTTGTTGGATGTGTCAACACACACGAGGACCCACGCGAACTTCATGTCTAAGAAGAGAGTATGCAAACGGTTAAAATTGCATACATACCATTCCATGTTAGTTTTGTATTTGTCTGTATATAGTAAGAGTCAAACGAAAATTGTATGCGTCTGTCTGAATGTGGTTGTTGATTAAACATAGAAAATATGACCCACACTACCCACGCCATTGCTCAAGTGCCTGTTTACCGATTTGAAATGTTTATTGTCTCGTTGTTTTGAGCTGATTGCCAATACTTGTTGATTACGATGGAAGGTTTCGTTTTTTGTTTTTTAATTTCAACACGCGGTGTCATGAGCACAGTATTCTTAAAAGTTTTAATTCCTGGAATAATTTTATGAAGTGATATATTTACTGGTAAAAATGAAACATTTAGTCCTGTTATTTTAAGTTCGCACCTTTGATTTTATCATCTGTAACGTGACATTTTATTATAAACGCACTTTTGATATGTCAGCTGATGGATCCGTTTGTTATATTGCTCACTGTATAATGCATCAATTAATAAATTGTATTTGTCAAGCTTCATAACTTGGTTCATGTTGTCTCATTATCTGAGTACTGTCCTACAGTATGGGTGCCTTTTAGGAGTTTAAATCATTTGTACATGGCATAGATCTGACCACTATAGATTCAAAATAATCACATCCATTATTGTTATATAAATAATCCAGATTCACACTCCTACAGATTCTATAGATTCACATCAACGTAGATTTATATTAGAATATTCACATTTGTTTAGCATTTAATACCTCAGCATCTCACAGCACCTTACATCACATTTATTATAAATGCACTTTTTACGTGTCAGCTGACTAAAGCAAACAATTCTGGGTTGTATTGTTGCCCGTTTTATTTTCTTTGTTCCCGTTACCGGTTGCAAAATAAAGACTGCGAATCTGATGGAGCCATCCGTGCCATTGCTTAGTCCACCACACACAGCAGGGCATGCAGGGGGAGGCCGCCTCACGCCACCGAGAGGAGTTGTGGCCAACGGCGCCACCGGGGTGCCGGGACGCTCATTGCCGCCAGCGCTCTCCCCAGCACGGAGAGGCCGCTGCCGCAGGGCCGGAATCAGAATATTTATTTATTACTTGGAGAAATCCGACGAGCTATGAAGCTCTTTTTCACAGATGTCCTGTAGGGGCTTGTTCAGAACGTGACGACAACAAAACAAAAACACGACAGGAGTGCAGAATACGGGACATGTAAAACAAATCACCAAGTACTCATTGGTTATTTCGATAAAGTCACGTGTGTAGAAATAAAATATAAATTACATTTTATTTAAAAAAAACACATTTTATTTTTATTTGTATTCTACATACGTGACTTTACCGAAAGAACCAATGAGTATTGTTATTCCTGCAGTCACGAAAGCTTCAATCCTAGATTAAATCACTAAGTATATACAAATAAAAGTAGAATATATTTTTGATATTACCAGGTAAAGCCCCCTAAGCTATTAACTTGTTTTTCAGACTCGACCTGGCCACGATTAATAGCTCAAAGAGGCTCATCGTGTGGACATTTACAGCAGCAAAATCATCTAAATACTCTAACGGCAACTTTGTAAAGGTGTGGAGGCCACACGCAGGGCCCCTACTGTGCTGCATTTTAGACGGCCGGCGCTCCGCTCGTTGTAGTGAGCGTCGCTCCTCTGCTCTCCGTTGTTGCTGGAGGGCGACTGCCTCCAACTGCCCAGTAGCAGCGGCGTCCTTCACGAGCCTCCTCCACAGAGGCCGATCTTGACACCGCTGGTACCAGTCGTCGGCAAGTCCACTCAGCTCCACATCCTCCCATACCGCACCACTCCATCTCTTCTCTAACCTGTACCGCGCCCGTTGAGCCCCCTCGATGTGGCCAAACAAAAGCTGCTTGGGCATGCGGTGGTATGTGGGCTACATCACCCAGGCAATGCAGCCTTGCCTGCCGGAGGAGTTCACTGTGTCCAGATCTTTCAAGGATTTGTGAGCTCCTCACACAATCCAGGCTGGTCAAACCCAGGATGGATCGCAGGCATGCCAGCCTGAATGTTTCAAACATAGAAAATGGAGGGCATGACTGTGGTCGAGAAGACCCAAGTTTCTTGCGGAGCGACTTTTTTGTTTGGCTATTTGTGCTTGTGCACTGCTGCCAATACAGTATCGCCAAATAATGTTTACCTATGGTTGGTGTTGGCTGTTTTTAGCGATTTGATCAACACACCACATGCATCTCCAAGTTGGAACCACAATTGTACCATTAGTCAACATGATACGTGGAGATAGCATTGCCAATGGTGGTTTATTTCTTATTGGGGAATCCATCGATATACAGAACAGATGCGTCCATGAAAAGTTATCCGTAAAGCGAAATTCCGTTTATCGAACCCCGTTTTCCCACTGACTTCAATCTACTGGACACATCTATAAAAAAATAACTTCATATTTCATTGGATTTCCCCAGGATAAATAAACATTCTGATCTAAGAATAAACAAAAATTAAGTAAGATTTATTTCAAACAGAAATGAAAATGAACACGGAACAACACAAAGCACCGAACCCACGAGGAGGCGAGCGAACCACGTGCAGCGCTGCTGGGACACGCAACAGAGACCCCACCCCCCCAACTGTGTATGCGAGAGGCCGACCGAAACTGAATTTCTGGTTTCGTCCGAAAACGAAATCAGACCGAAAGTTAAAAATTGACTTTCGGCCGAAGCCAAAAAGTTTGCCGAAAGAGGCCATTTGCCAACTTTCGGCGCCTAAAACCGAACCCGAATTTCGGTCGGCCTCTCGTGTGCACTCTTTCATTTTCCACCACCCCCCGACCCCCCCCCCCCCCATAAAATATTTTAATGTCAGGATTCCAAAAATTTCATTAATGCGAAATGAACGTAACGTATGTCGAAGTTCGTTCTTCCCACAATTTCTAAGTTTACGTTGCGTAGCAAAATTCGTGCCATTGAGTTGCCGTCATAGCGAGGGATGACAACATTTTAGGCACGTGTCATTGTGGTTACAGTGCCGCACTCACAAACGCCGGCTGGGGTTGAAATTCAACCAATCGTCTCCATGGGACGGTTACGTAAATAGACCTTTGCAGGAAGTTCACAGGGGCAGTTCTGCAAAGGTCATGTTCCCGCCATGGGAATGTCGAATGACCCCACCGGCTCAGCGGAACCCGTGCAGTGAGGCGTGACTCGTGAGAGCGAGCGCGTGTTGTGTTCAGAAAGTGCGCGCGTAGCGGTGATGACGCGGCGGGGTTTCGGGAAACCACCGAAAGCGAAATCCCTCCTCGCCCCCCCTCTCCTCCTCGCCCCCCACCTCCAGCACCACAGTCACAACGAACAGCAGCAGCGGCACGTTTCGGAAACCCGAAAGGGAGGGCTGGCGGCTGGGAGGAGCCCACACGGCGGTGCGGATTGGACTCAGTGGGAGAGGCTCTGCGTGGATTCCCCAGCCCCGGGGCTCTGCGCTTGGAGGGGGAGGCGCGTGCGCGACTTTAAAAGGAGGGCAGCGCGCAACGGCAGGGACACAAGCAGCCTCTCCTTCTTCGTCTCCTTCTTCTTCTCTTGCGAGACGAGTCACGTGGAACAGGTGAGATACCCGCGGTCGCTGCGCTCTCTGCCGATGCTGCCTCTTGCGTAGAGCGGAGCCCGGCTGCGTGCAGTGCAACAACAACAACAGGTTGTGCGTTGTGCGTTGGTGAAGTATGGTCAAATAACCCCCACGACCGCCGAGGATTGGAGAACTCCTCATGCAGCAGGGGGTTTAACAAAATAGCTGTAGGTGTTTATGTTAGATTAAGTTTCGCAACAATAGGCTCCATCTGTTTGTAACTTTGCCACACGAGGTTTCTCGACAAATACGAACGTAGCCAATGGTGACGAATTAACAAAGTGCCGTTTCGTCTGCTCGTGGTTTTAAACTGTGAGGCTGCGTTTTCACCAAGATCGTGCTGCGTTTCTCAGCACCGCCTACAGATCCTCTCGCCTTCACCGCTCCACGACGATGGACTGCTCCGAGACCATCGGCGACCGCAATGGCCCCTGCACCCTGCAGAGAGGAGAGAGCCCCAAGGATGACCGGCGCTACATCATGTACCACGGCACCGACGCGCAGGGGGCACACGGCATCCTCGCGCAGGGCTTCAGGCGGTCCGCACGCGGCATGCTGGGGCCCGGCGTCTACGTGAGCCGCGACATCGAGAAGGCGAGGCGGTATCCGATTGGGAAGCCCGAGAACGTCAAAGTGATTCTGAAGCTCAGGGTGAACGTGGGGCGCGTGAAGAAAATCGACGGCCAGGACCACCCCCTGCGTCTCACCTGGCACGACGAGGGCTACGACACCGCCTGGGTGCCGCGAGGCTGCGGGATGGTGACCAGCGAGCTGGAGGAGGACTGCGTCTGGGATCCGGAGAGGATCACGGTCGTTGGCGTCGAGGAGGCGCCCAGCAGCGAAATGAAGACGATGTTGCTCGCGATGATTAAGAACCCAAACGACGTGAGTTGCATGCACGCACGCAGGCACTCAGGCACGCAGGCACGCACGCAGATACGCACGCACGCAGGTACGCAGGCACGCAGGTACGCAGGTACGCACGCAGGCAGGCACGCAGGCACTCAGGCACGCAGGAACGCACGCACGCAGGTACGCACGCACGCAGGTACGCAGGCACGCAGGTACGCAGGTACGCACGCACTCAGGCACGCAGGCACGCAGGCACGCACTCAGGCACGCACTCAGGCACGCACGCAGGCAGGCACGCAGGCACGCAGGTACGCAGGCACGCACTCAGGCACGCACTCAGGCACGCACGCACGCAGGCACGCAGGTACGCAGGCACGCAGGCACGCACTCAGGCACGCACGCATGCAGGCGCACCAGCAGTGGTGTAGCTGCTCCAGGCGCAACCACACAATGCCACTGACCTACCGGGCAACTTTGTGAATTTGACATCGCAACAATATTTGCGTGCATGCAGATTTGTGGACACGTACAGGCTGTGAATGAAACTGTACTGTTATACTGTGCATCAAACAGAACGCAACGTAGATGGCAAATGCAAGCTGAAACGTGACTTGTTTTTTACGTTTAATGGTCATTTACATATTTCTACACGATACATCGTTGGTGAAAACATTACAGTGCGATCTGAATGTTTTAATATTTGTTTTCTTTTAACTGTATTATCATGGGGTAGTCAAAAAGCTGACAAGCCTGGGCCCCACGTGTCGAGTATAAAAAAAATCGCCAACGCATTGTAATGTAGAGCACTTTAAGTGGATCGCTGTAGACTATTCACGTGCGTGTCACCCTTCGTTGAAAATAAATGCCGTGCACTCTCCCGTCACCCCCGCTCCCCAACGCAGGCCGTACAGATCGTCGTGAAGGACCTGGAGGGGAAGCCCCTGAGGCTGATGGTGAAGCTGTCCGAGTCGGTGCTGGCGCTGAAAGTCAGGATCCAGAGCAAGTGGAAGGTGTCGCCCGCTCAGCAGCGCCTCGCTTACGGGGGCGCCGCGCTGCAGGACGCCACCACCCTCGCCAAGTGCGGTTTGAAGCAGAATGCCATCGTCAACCTGCTTCACGTGTACCACGTAAGCAGAGCCGCTTGCCACGCACTCGGAATCGCCAACGCGACCTCTGGGCCGGTGTGAGAAAATGCCAAAACAGATTAGAAAAGTGACGTCGTTAATTCCTTTCTGTTTCAGCTAGCCTTGCCCTCGGGTAGGGCTGAGGAACATTTTCCTTACCGAGGGCCGAATTTGACTTTCAAAGGCCTCTTGCAGGCCACAGGGATTCATCTACTTGGTTCTTTCGGTAAAGTCACGTGACTTTACCGAAAGAACCAAGAAGATGGACCGTAACATTCATTGTGGAGCCAGCCAGCCAACAGCACATATGCCACCGTTCACTTGGTGGCAATTGTAAATTAACAAAAGCCTGTATGCCTGCAATTAAAACTCAGCGCATAGCCTAAGACCCTAAGTGTTCTATTTAAGACCGGAAACAGGTAGATTGTTTCACTATTTTGGAAAATCGCCCGATGATGCTGGATGTAATTACCATTGAAACGTCGCACTCAAGTTGTAAATGTTGTTGATTTACTCTCCAACACACCGGTGGGTTGAAGTAGTAACTAATTGGCGTTTTGTTTACGTGACAAATGCCATTCTAATTGGCTGTGTTGGGTGGTGGAGGGTTACGACCCATTTGGCTTATGCGATCTCACCCAAAACCTTTATTATGAATAATATTGGTCCTAAAAGCTTACGTGTTCAACTAGCCGAAGTGAAGATGGCATTTGTAACGCGATGGCATTTTTGTAACTTTTCATTTCATTTTCCACGCAGGTCGTTGACGTCTTCGTGAAGACGCTCGCGAACAAAACGTTGACGATAGAGGTGAAGCTCTCCGACTCGGTGCTCTCACTGAAGCAGAAGGTCCAGCAGAAGGCGCGCATACCGGTAGAGCAGCAGATGCTCACCTTCAGCAGCCGCACCCTGGAGGACGATCAGAAGCTGGAGTGGTACGGGATTCAGCAATACTCCACCATCACCATGCAGGGCCGCCTGCGGGGAGGGTAGTCACGTGCCCCACGCACGCGCCACCTGAAGAATTGACGGACACAATTCATGAGCGGTCTTCTGTCCAGTTGGCCATTGTCAGGGTGGACCTGCAGCCACTGCCTTCTACAAAATCTCCGCTTGTGGGTGGTCATCACCGCCAGATGTACGATGTTGACAAAAAAAACTGTTCATCCTATCGTGGCTGCACTCGTACATATATTTAATTTCCATAAATATTCATGGAACTTTTACAAATCTTCATCCAAATAGTTAAGCCCGTGATGGTTATTTTCGGATCTCGGACCAATGATGTGTGTTTGAGTTTATTTGTTGGATGTGGCAACACACACGAGGACCCACGCGAACTTCATGTCTAAGAAGAGAGTATGCCAACGGTTGAAGTTGCATACATACCATTCCATGTTAGTTTTGTATTTGTTTGTATATAGTAAGAGTCAAACGAAAATTGTATGCGTCTGTCTGAATGTGGTTGTTGATTAAACATAGAAAATATGACCCACACTTCCCACGCCATTGCTCAAGTGCCTGTTTACCGATTTGAAATGTATATTGTCTCGTTGTTTTGAGCCGATTGCCAATACTTGTTGATTACGATGGAAGGTTTCCTTTTTTGTTTTTTAATGTCAGCGCGCGGTGTCATGAGCACAGTATTCTTAAAAGTTAAAATTCCTGGAATAATCTTATAAAGTGATGTATTTACCGGTAAAAATGAAACATTTAGTCCTGTTATTTTATAGTTCGCACCTTTGATTTTACCATCTGTAACATGACATTTTATTATAAATGCACTTTTGATATGTCAGCTGATGGATACTTTTGTTATATTGTTCACTGTATAATGCATCAATACATAAATTTGATTTGTCAAGCTTTATAACTTGGTTCATGTCTCATTATCTGAGTACTGTCCTGTAGTATGGGTGACTTTTTAGAGTTTAAATCATTTGTACATGGCATAGATCTGACCACTGTTATATATAAATAATCCAGATTCTATAGATTCACATTAACGTAGATTTATATTTGAATATTTGCATTTGTTTAGAATGTAATTACCTCAGCATCTCACAGCACCTTACATCACGTGACAATCATTCAACGGGGACCACCAGTGGCAGCTGCCCTTGTGTTTAAGGTGACTCAGAAATTGTCATCAAAGGGGGTATTAGTCTCTCAGTAGGGGGCAGTGTTTGCTACGTGCAATCAAAATTTAGTAATTTGCCGTTGATTAGAAGAAAGTAAAAATTGGACCATGATGCTGGCATACAATAGCCTACTTTTATCAAATGACATAATGAGCCTTTAGCATTCGCTGCGCGTGCTTTATGGTCGATGTTAACAAAGGGAGTCGGATGAGAATAAAATGCTTTGACAAAAGTTATACACCGTGACGTCACGAGATACCACGACGAGAGAGCTTTTTGGAGAGAGTTCGTGTAGTTTTGCGATTCCTCCTAACGCTGAAGGGGTGTGTAGAGACTCCAGTGGCAGCCGATGGTCCGTCGTGTGGGGTGCATGGCCACAATCGCACCACGTGCATTCACATCCACGACCATTGCGCTGCTGCCACCATGTGGCATGAAACCAGAGTTGCAGGTGCTGAGGACTGCTTCAGGCTGTACGGCCATGGCTGGGGGGTGGGGTGGAGATGTATATCCGTACTTCATAGTTTGGACCGGACTCATGAAAGTCGAGCAAAGGACCAGTCTCACGTTGCCCCGATATGCCCCACTGCCCAGGCCTACTGATGGTATCCATAGGCCTTGACCAGGTCAATAAAGCAAAGATGTAGATCCTGTTGGAATTCCCTACACCTCTGCTGTAGTAGACGGACAGAAAATATGGCATCTGTGCAGGACCGCCCACATTGGGGCTCCGCAAGCCTCTCATCAGTGAGCCTGGCAAGGCGATGTTGAATAATCCTTGCTCTCGGACCTTTCCCGGCACACTGAGGAGGGAGATGCCATGCACGGTGTACACACACACACACCCAGGTGACTACACTCGTTGAGACACGGAGACACAGACATGGAGAGAGACGAGGAACCATCCTTTTCCGTAAGTGAGCGGCCACGTGCCTAGCCACTGTACACCTACAGCATAACTCATTGTAAGTGTAACGTCGGAATGTGCCACGAAATTTGCTATAAATGCTCACCACAAACTGCAAATATAGTGGACTGCACATGGTTTAAGCAAAACCAAATATTTTACAAATGCATGCCTTAATAGCGTTTCCTTTCTTCTGGGAAATCGGTTTCAGTATATTCTACGCAATGTAACTTCCTCATGGCACATTAATCTACTGATTTCGATCACTTCGGTTCATTGTGGTTATTATAATTGCTGATGATTAGATTATTATAATTGTATAAAGGACATTGTTCTGCCTCACGGCAGGTGTTTTGCCTCACGGCAGATGTGGGGGTGTGAGAACACAGGAATTTCCCGTTTTTGATGCTGAGTTTGGTCACGTGACCGGGTAGTTCCGATTTGACAGCCTTTCAGCCACGAGGCCGGGGGTCCGCCATTACACAGAGTTCAAGATGGCGGCACACATCGCGTCCTAGTGACACCAGCTGTAATTGTACATTGTGGGACTTTAAGAAGCATTGTCTGTAAGTTCGTTTATGTTCTTGTAATACTGGAAATGCTGTTATAATGTTAGAATGACTGTTATAATGCTGTAAATGCCTTTATAATGCTGTTAAATTGTTATGATAAATATGAGGCCTAGTTAACAACGAAGCCTGCATCTTTCCTTATTGTGAATGTTACTTGTAATTTAATAAGTCGAGTCAAACTTGTACCCAAATAAATATATTGCAATCTTGAGAGCAAGGATGACGAAATATCTCATCCACAATTTAGTGTTATGTGTAGTGCTGTACATTTAGGGTGCAGTGTGATGATTACACGATGTGCCTTTATTTAACAAAGCATATTATCTTGTATAGCTATTTAGTACTAATGTAGGTGCCTGGTCTATACAGCATCTATTGTTGAGTTCAGGTTATCTAAGGCAATGTTATGATGATGTAGTGTTCATTCATTGTATTGATATTACCAAGTATTAACATATGCTGTATTTGTGCTGTTTTTCCATCAGTTTTACCTCGTTCAATTCAATAAATTATGTTTGGAGTCAGATGTTCACCCTCGCTCTGAGGGTTTATCGGATGCGAGGTTAACTACTTGGATAGCGGTGCAACGCAGCACACAGCGAGGCCGAGACATACATAGTTATTGCAACTACAGTCAGTTAACTATACATATTATTTAAACACCGTAAATTAGAATATGCTCTAAAGAACACTTTGGAGCAATGAAATTATCAATTAATTAAATCTCAACCATTGCATAAAAATAAATGTTTTTAATACCAATATACGAATGGCAGGCCAAATGTCACGCGTAGTTTGGAACTCTTTTCTACTTCATCAACATTCGTTGCTGGTTGGGTGACCGTTAAACAATGGAGGATTAAAGATTGTAGTGCGTGATAATTAACGCGCGCTTTTACCCATGCTGACGATGTTGCAATAGCAAGCCACTCGCCACCAGTTGGATGCAGTTGCTGGTTCGGCTGCCAACGGGACGCTTGTTCAGAGGAGGTGAAGACGCTGGTGTGGTGTACGCTTTCAAACGCTCCTTGTGGCACTATGCAGGGACCTCGTGCAGACTTTTTTATGGGGATTGCATTCGTGTCGAGCGTGGTGGTTGGGGGGAGGGGTTGTACGTCATCGAACTATTATCAGGAACGGCATCATTTCCGAGAAACACTGCTTCACGTTCGCGATAAGCACGGGCGCAGGCAGAGCGTGTCTTGTACAAGCACATGGTCAAGCCCCTGTGTGCATCCACTGTTGGACAAGGAGTCTCAGCGTGGGGTCATTTGACCATACTTCATCCACGATAGAGTTGGTGAAGGCAGGAGCGTAGACGTGGCAGCAAGTGAAGAGAGGCAGTTGGTTTTGCTGCAATGCCCTCGACTGCTCTCCGGCAACCTCTTTGTGCCTGGTGGTTGCTCCCGCAGGTGCTGTCCAGGCTCAAAATCTGCTTTGCTTCCAATATTTTATGAGATCGTGTGCATTCTGGGTAATTTTTTTGTAGGCCATATCTCTATGGCACTTCCCTTCCATCACTTTCGAAAAGGTGTTATGCAATGGCATCGGACGCAGATGATGCCACTGCGAGGATTGATTTCTTAAATTTTAAATGTAAATGTGCACAATATGGGGGGCGGGGTTCCCCTAGGGGGGGGGGCAAGGAAGTAGTCCATGATGGGTGGGGGTAGTTGCTGTGCCTGTGTCATGTCAGTGAACCGGAGACGAGGTTCGTCGAGGCACCTTTATTCAACAAACTCGATCTCGGCTGCACACCTCTACAGTCACTAGCCGATACACAACGCGAGCCGTCTAACACCGACGGCGCTGACGGAGACAGCCAACTACTTACTAGCAGCGCAATGTCGAGCGAAGACGACAGCGACGATGGCGACGAGACGCCAACAACGACGAGACAATCCAATCCCAGAATCGGCCGCCTCGGGCTCCCGCTCTCGGCCCCTTTTATGCTCCCAGCGCGGCCTGGCTCCGCCCTGGCCACGCCTCCCTTCTCGAACTCACTAGGAGGTTCAAGCTTATTGGTATATTGAGCACATTGATTATATTGATTATATTGATGTACAGTAGTTTATATTTCGTTTTTTCACATCGGTTTATTGTCTGGTAGTTGGGTAGTTGCAGTTCTTTAGCGTCAATATGCTAAATCCCTCTGTTGATATGTAAACTCAGCTTATTGGAGAGTATATTGATGATATTGATGTAGTTTATATTTTAGTTTTTTATCGGTTGACTATATGGTAGTCTTTTGATTTAAAGCTTTCGTGACTGCAGGGATTCATCTTCTTGGTTCTTTCGGTAAAGTCACGTAGAAGGTAAGTAATAAAATAATAAAAATCAAACATAATAAAATAATTCTCACGACGTTTTGGCCACAATGCAAGCAGCCGTCCTCAGGTGAAGAATGAAACACCACCAAGCTTGGAGCGTATATTTAAGCTGGTTTGGAGGGGGGGAGGTGGGAAGAAGAGCACCTTGACAAAATAATTTGCATATCAAGAGGAATTTAGCATATGGAAAATGCGTAGGAGGTGGGCGGAGGGGTTTCAAATTAATATTATGCCCGTGCATTATGCAGGATTAGCATCAAAGGGAGGGGGAAGGGGGGTAGCATTAACAAAGGAAAGGAATGTTAATAGTATGTAGCTGCAGTTACTAAACAACCACGTAGAAAACTAAAGTATAAACTACATAAACAACTAAAGTATAAACTACATAGCATCCATCAGTATACTTACTATACTCTACAATAAGCTGAGTTACTAACAGTAAGTAATACATTACAATTCTACGTCGTAAAAATTATATAATATGCTTGCATCTAAACTTTATTCTCTTACATCACACGAGTCTACACCGTACTATATACTGCCATAGACAAACCCAACATTAAATGATATACTGTATTGCTATAAACCACCCTATACCTTATACATTTTAATATAACACTATGTATTATTGTACCCACCCTAATGTGTATCACACTGCTATATGTTTACTATACAAGTACGATACTATATATTACTTTGTACATTGTATTAAGCATATAAATGTTATACTATTTGTTATTATACACTGTACCATTGACCGTCGTGTCAATGGGTGAGTCGTGGGGGGAAAACTTGCAGCGGAGCAAAGAATCCATTCCCTGTGGAGAATACAATGCCAGTGAGTGGAACGCGGTCTGAAAGTCACCGTAAACGTGAACACAATCAGTTAAGATCCGAAATGGTTTATTACGTCCTAACAATGATTGCTAAGCCAGAATCCATCTTCTCGGTTGAAATTGTCTCTGTGTTTGTATATGTGGATCGCCTCATGAACGAACACACAGTACATAAAATCCGTGATCTGGTCCCGTCTGTAAAAGATGTGGTTCCAGACATACAGTACCCTGGCGTCTACAAACTAAGTTTCCTCTGTGGTAGCAGTTACATTGGAGAAACCAAACGACATGTCTCGGACCGCATCCGTGAACATAAGGCAGACCTGAAACACGGTAGGACAAACACCTCAGCCGTGGCAGATCACTGTTACAACTCAGTGGGCTCACATGACATTGACTTCTCCAAGACAGAGGTTCTCTGCAAGCCATCTGGCTATCATGAGAGATTCGTTCATGAGGCGATCCACATATACAAACACCGAAAGAACCAAGAAGATATATGGTAGTCATTATATAGTGTAGTGTATACCCAGTTACTTAATGTTAATAGCTCAGCTTATTGGAGAGTATATTGAGTACATTGATTGCATTGATGTATTTTATATTTATCACATCGGTTTATTGTATGGAAGTAGGGTAGTTGCAGGTCCTTAGCGTCAATATGCTAAATTCCTCTGTTGATATGTAAACTCCTTTGTCACAGCACTCTGCTCCTCCCACCCAGCTTAAATATACGCTGCCAAGCTTAGCGGTGTTCATTACGACGCTGTTTTTCAGACAGCTCCGTTCTTCACCTGTGACGGCTGCTTGTGTTGTGGCCGAAACATCGTGAGAATTTTATTTTCTTCTTCTTTAGTGCTGCCTAACGGCGTGTGCGACTTCACGATGATATTGGTCCCGGTCTAGCACGGCGTGTAGAGTTTGTGCTGTTGTTAATTGTAGCCATGTTTTGATGTTACTGAGCCATGTCGTTTTTGGCCGTCCTGGTCGTTTTTTCCCTTCGATTTTTCCTTCCAGGATTTGCTTTAATAGCTGGTATTTGTGGTCGTTTCGGGCAATGTGGCCTAGATAGTAACACTTCCTGCTAATGATGGTCTTCAGCAGTTGCCTGTCAGTGCCCATATCTTGCAGAACTTGTGTATTGGTGGTTTTGGCTGTCCATGGGATTTTCAGCATCCTTCGATACAGCCACATTTCGAAAGCTTCGAGCCTTTTTGTTGCTGTTGTTGTCAGTGTCCACGTCTCTACTCCGTACAGCAAAATTGACCAGATGTAGCATTTCAGTGTGCGCAGTTTCAGTGATATACTCAAGTTGCGGTCTGCAAGGAGTGTTTTCCATTTAATAAATGCTTGCCTTGCTTGTTCAATTCTGCTCTTGATTTCGACTTCATGGTTCAACTGATCGTCAATGATTACACCAAGGTATTTAAATCGGTGTACTTGTTCCAATTTTTCGCTGCCCAGCTTGATTGTTATTTCGCTTGTAGTTCGGCTGACCTTCATAACCTTTGTTTTCTTTTTATTAATTCGTAAGCCCCATATTTGACTCTCTGTGGCAACCTCGTCCAAGATTTGTTGTAGGTCTTGTTCTGAATCGGCCAGCAGTGCAGTGTCGTCGGCATACCTGATGTTGTTGATGTATTGTCCATTGACTTTAATACCTATGTTTTTATCTACTAGTGTTCGATCAAAAATCTGCTCCGAGTAGATGTTGAAAAGACTGGGTGAAAATGGGCAGCCCTGTCGTACACCTTTTTGTATTGGTGTTGGGTCTGTCAATTCGTTGTCATATCGGAGTTGGGCTGTTTGCTTCCAATAAAGAGCAATGATGAAGTTGATGTCGTTTTTATCTAGTCCCAGTTGTTTTAATAGAGCTGCTAGTCGGTCGTGGTCGACTGAGTCAAAGGCTTTCTCGTAATCTATGAAACAGATGTACACTTCTTTCTGATGTTCGTGGCATCGCTGTAGTAGTATCTGTAGACAGAAGATTGCTTCTTTTGTGCCTAGTCCTTTACAGAAGTCAAACTGTGTGTTCTTCAATGCATTTTCGCATGTGGAGCGTATGCGCTGTTGGATCACCTTCAGGAAGACTTTCAGCACGTGGCTCATCAAGCTTATCAGTCTGTAGTCCTCTCATTTCCGGCTTGTTGCTTTCTTTTGTATGGCCACAAAGATGGATTGTAGCCAGTCGGAGGGAATTTTATTGCCATTGTATATTTGATTGTACCAATTAGTCAGTTGTCGTATGTTGTTGCTGTCTAATAGTTTGAGCAATTCTACATGGATTGTGTCGGGCCCGCACGCTTTGCCTGACTTAGCTGTTTTGATTGCATGTTCTACTTCTGATGTTAAAATGTGTAGAGCGTCTTTCGACATCTGTTGGTCTTTTTCTGCAGGTGTTCTCGCGGCGCCATAGAGCTTGTGTATATAGTTTGTCCAGGTGTCCATTTTTTCTTGTTTATTTAGGATTGGTTGGTTGTTGTCCGCATACAAGGTAGCTGTTGGGGCTGGTCTGTAGATGTTACCAGCTTCTTTGAGCTTCTTGTGCAGAGTAAAATTGTCATGTTTTTTTTTAATTAGTTCTTCAATCTCGGCGCATTGTTCTTCCATCCACTTTTCTTTTGCCTGTCGGATTGCTTCTCTGATCTTCTGTTGCATTTGTTTGTACTTCTTCAAGTCGTTATTTTGTACATTCTTCGTTTGCTCATTAGATCGAGAATATAATGTGTCATCCATCGTTGTTTCTTTTTCGGTGGCTGATGTCCCAGCATGACTTCTGTTGTTTCTGTGATGCATTGTTTGAACGAGCGCCAGTACTCCTGAACATCTGCTGTTTCTGTTGTTATTGAGCGGATGCTATCGTTGAGATGTTGCTGTACTTGTCTTTTATCGGCGCTGTTCTTCAGTTTCTCCAGGTCTGCTCGTCTCGTCTTTGTACATTGTATTGATCGCAATTTGAGTCTTATTGTAGCTGTTACTGGGTTATGATCTGACGATATATCGGCTCCAGGGTAGGTTTTTGCTGTAATCACACTGGACTTAAACCTGATGTTAATTAGGATATAATCGATTTGGTTCCTGACGATGTTGTTGTCGGAGTCTTGCGGCGAGGTCCACGTGTACAGTCGTCGAGGTGGTAATTGGAACCACGTGTTAGCAATACTGAAACGTTCTTCTTGGCAGAATTGAACCAGTCTGTCGCCTCGTTCATTCCTTGTTCCTAGTCCGTGTTCTCTGACAATGTTCTGCATTCGACCGTGGCCAACCTTGGCGTTGAAGTCGCCGAGGATTATAGTGATATCTTGCTTCTTCAGCGGTTTCACCGTGTTGGTTAGTTGCTCATAGAACGATTTGATATCATGATCTTGTTTATCTGCTGTTGGAGCATAAACCTGTAGAATGTTCACGTTGACTTTATTGCCTGCTAATTGTAGTAGTGCTATTCGTTCTGATACTGGGGTAAAGTTGTTGACTTTATTCGCTAATTTCTTGTGTACTATAAAGGCGACACCGTATGTTTGTTTGGTGTTTTCTTCTCCTCTGGAGCAGAAGATGTGGTGTTCGCTCGATATAAACTTTTTTGTTCCAGGCCATTTAGTTTCGCTTAGACCGATTATGTTGATTTTAAGTCGATCCATTTCTTGTATGACATTGGCTAGTTTTCCTGCTTGAAGTAAACTTCTAACGTTCCAAGTTGCTACTTTGAAAGGGTTCTTTGACACAAGCTCGGAGATTCTTAGCACCCCTGTCCTATTTAAAGGACGCCGATACTCAGGGCCTTTGTTGATTTTGCTTGTCATCATTGAAGTTTTCAAGGGAGAAATAATCCAAGTAGTTTCCCGTTGCTTTCTTGGATCACAATTTATTTGAAAAGGTCATGTGGGGACCTTTCGAAACGGGTTTTGTTTGACGTCTCCACTGAAGTCTTCCCGCCTTGGGTGACCCTTCTGAGAGCACTAGGCTCTCGACGGTATAGCGATCAGCTTCTCAGACGTACACAAACTCTCTCGCCGCGTTAAGGCACCGTTTCTCGAGAGAGAGAATTTTATTTTATTATGTTTTATTATTTTATTATTTCCCTTCTACGTGACTTTACCAAAAGAACCAAGAAGATGAATTCTGCATACGAGGCCAGGGAGCTAACAACGCACCACGTATTGTAGCCTTGCCTGAATATCCATGATTTTTGAGTCCTTGATTTAACTTTGTCAGGGTTATCTCACCATTGTTTAATTGTAAATGGCTAAATTAACTCACAGCCAATACCAGTGACAATTATTTGAACTGGTCCTGGGCCTCGAGTACCTGGTGTGGTGTGTAAACATCATCACTGGAGAGACAAAGGCGGCCGGGCATGGCTTAACCTGACACCAAAACACCCGAGTGAAAATCTGAAATTTGAAATGGATAAATGAGAATTTTCGTGTACACGTGTATGAGATTGCTGCATTGGAACATAAGCTACAACACAATTGTAATACGAGCGTGAGTGAGGTTTAGCCACTCAGCTCTGGGCCAATCAGACGCCCGGAGTATTGGGGGCGTTGCCCAGTAATGTGGGCGTATAGGAAGGTCCGCCGCCCACCTCCGGTCCAATCGGATGCCCGGAAGATCAGGGGCGGAGCTTAAGGGCGGAGCCGGAGGGGCGCGAAGCGAAGGGCGTAATCTGGAAGGTTCCGAAAGGGCGTGGTGAAGGCTGGAGACAGGATGACGTGTGAGGGGAATATAAGGGGGATCCAGAAGAGACTCGTGGTCAGTTGGTGTAGTCACGGAGTGGGACCACGTTTGGTTGTGGGACCACGTTTGGTTGTGGGCCATCTCCTGCGCCATCAGCCACGTGGCTGGAGACGACTCCAAGCACACCGTCAGCCAACGGAGTGCGGGAGCAGGAGGAAGTGCAACTGACGGAAAGGGCGCGCAGGGCGCGCAAGAGAGACAGGCAGTCCACTGTCTGGATCGGCGGAGTGTGAGCGGCATAACAAGAATTAACCAGAGACGGAGACCAAGCTGTGTGTCGTCAACATCTTTTATTACACAATTAAGACGCAAGACAGGTCTTGTAAATTATGGTTTATATTCAACAAAATCAAAATGAACACGTGTCTTTTTCATGTTGGCGTTCTGAAAATTTAAACGCAAAAAATTGAGAAATCGATTTAAAATTTCCACCACTATCTGAAAGCGATTATATACAATTCCTTTCAGATTATTCATCAAACTAGTGGGCCTGTGGCCACATTTTAGGTATTAAATTGTTCCCTGTTGTACTTATTTGATTACAGTTGTTTTATATCATGCTTTCACTTCCTTACTTCAACAGCTAAAAAAAAGATTGACTTAAAGCTTTCGTGACTGCAGGAATTCATATTCTTTGGGTCTTTCAGTAAAGTCATATATATAGGTTCAAAAATGTAAAAGTAAATTTATTAATGATTAATAAAAAAAAATATTTAAAAATAATTTATTTTACATTTTTTTTACCTATCTTCGTTACTTTACCGAAAGACCCAAATAATATTTAAACAGCGAGGTTCATGGATTGAAAGCCTCACCCACCACTCTAGGCCCCACCCCTTCCCTTGTAGGCCCCGCCTCCTCCAGACGTAGGCCTCGGCAAGGTAAGGTATTAGCTAAAAAGTAAAAACAAAGAGCTTACCTTTACCCTTCCTTTTACCTTACCACAATACAAGCACTATACCCTACCTTTTACCCTTTAGCAGGTAAGGTAAAAAGCAACGAGCCTACCTTTACCCTACCTTTTACCCTTACCCCATACAAATTACCCAATTACAGGGTAATTATTGGGGTACTACACATGAAAAAGGTTTATAACGGTAAATGCTAGGTAGAGCGCTATATTCATATAGAATACTCTCGATGATTCCAATTTTACACGCTTGTTGTTGTCATTGTTGTCATTGTTCTCGTTGTCGTCGTCGTCGTATCCTCAAATCTTGTAACTCAATTTTAACCCACTTCCCAATGTGGTATCGACTGCAAACTTAGTATACCAATGTCATACTGATGACATTACTATATTCTATCAAAAACATTTTTTTATATATTTTTTAACATGTTTTTATATGTTATGTTTCGGATTGGGTCTAATTGTCCACGCTCAACTGACGTTGGCTCTAAATGACCACGGCCCCTTACGTTATGGCAAGCTTCGGGACCACTTCGTCGTGGAATTCTGCCATTACGAATACGGTACATATCATTAAAGCGTGTTATTTAAAAATATTCTTATTTAAGTTCTACATATACCAATTGCTGCTGGAATACACTGGTTTGCAAGGAATATGAGATAATTGACTTAAATGTTATATATATTTAAATATTTGTCAATGAAACAAAATTCTGCCAATTCGTGTATTAATGAATATACACCATTCAGCAAACACAATTGTAAATGTTAAACTAGTTCCCAGAAAGAAAAAAAAACCTACGTGAATAATGGAGATATTCCCTTTGTTTTCTTGGTCACCGTTATAATCTCATTGTTGTCACCGCATTAAGCAATACTGCCGCTCTGAAAACTACAGCCAGTCGGTAGGGCCCTAATGCTATTCCTCGCAGAACCCCATCATGTATCCCCTTTATCCATACAAGATTACCCAGCACGTCCCTTACCACGGCACACTACTGCACCTCTTTAGCCCTCAAAACCAATTCTGGTTGACAGCCAGCCCTATTTTTCACAGAAGCAGTATTCAGCAATACTATTTGAACGTACATTGCGTCTAAATACAAGACCATCTCAGGATGATGTACAAGGCAGCCATATGAAGGTAAACAGTACGCACAAAATTAACATCGAATAACATAAAAAAATAAATCACGACTTGGGCAGATGGATCAGTGGCCATGAATACGTCACGCAGACGCCATGCCACGCAACCTGTATCCCCACACTCTTGATGAACGTACTGTGAATTTGTTTATGATATCCTTTTACTCGCGATTCCTAGACCACACAACCCGAGTCTTCGGGGTGAGGCGCAGTCCTTGCTGAATGAAACGCCCAAACACGTGGAACATTCTCACGCATTTGATGGATGGAAATTCAATGCTGCATTTGGCAGTGGTGCCTTAGTTGAATTAACTCACGTTTGTCAAGAACGTTATCTTAAAATGGTCCTTCTTCATAGCACATACATAGAGAAGCCAGAGAGACAGTAGACAAAAGTTGAAGACTGTTCTCAATACCACGGGGCAGAACAAAACACCCACACTCAATGGGACATTTCCACACTGATTGAAGGCAATTGAATAATGTATGTAGATACATCGCAAGTTACCAATTTAAGTAATTTGCATAAAATCTATGAAAACTAATACAAATACGAGGCACATGTTAACAGATTAAACAGAAGGATACATTGACAACATTGCAGGCCAGTGTTTCAGATCATGCGAGTGCACGCTGTTAGTGGAGAACATCTGCATGGTAGGATTCACTGTGTGCCACCTGCAGAAGCCAAGACCCAGATTGGATTACAAGAGGCTGGTGATCGGACGGAACTTACTCGATAATCCCTGATATACAAGTAGAAACGTGCGGATTAAATAACGCAGGGTGCGTCGTTGGGTTGGAGGTTGTGGGCATTTTAGCACCAGCCCCACACCTGTGAAATCAAGTTGTGGGTAGAGACAGTGGCCGATTGGCTGGAACCTACCGGAGGTTTCCAAACTTGGATAGGGTTCCAGGGGCGGGGGGGGGGCTCATTAGAAGCATAACATGGTTAAGGTTAAGAGGCAGAGTCTCCTTAAACAGGTTTAAGGGGCACAGAGTGAGCCCAGTCTGGGGTGTGAACTCCATCAACATGGAATGTTGGGCCAACGTTGATCCATCGGTTAGAGCCACACGCCAATGCTGGCCTCCCGTTTAATGGTTATTGGGAAGAGGGAAGCTCTGCATTGAGACAATATTTAGAAGTGTAGTAGTGGGTTGTTTCACCGCTGAGGTTGTATATTTTTAGACTTGTTGACATTCGCCTGTAGTTACAGTAGTTTAGTACATGTGTCTTTATAATTAGATATATTTTCTAGCATAGTGTTAGTTTTTGAAAAAAAATTTGGCTTTTATATTGCGGACTGCAAATTAAGCTTCGTTTGGACAATATATTTACCTCCTCCATCCACCAAAATGCGACTGATTTGTATTTGTATCTGAATATGGAAAACTGGTGAATGTGGAAGGATGCATCGTTGTTAGGACACAAGCAATTGATAATAGGATTCCGCATTAAAGAATTATGCAAAATCCGTCATCCTCTGGAGGCGTTGGCACCTGTCTAATGACTTTCACTCTATTCGGGTTCCAGATGCAGTCTTCCTCCAGCCCACTGGGTACCATCCCACAGTTGGGTGGCACCCACGCGGTGTTGTAGCCTTCATCATGCCACGTCTTCTGCAAAGGGTGGCCTTGTCTGTCGATCTTCTTCACTTTTCCCACACGCACTTCGACCTGCAGAACCACCCTCTCGTGATGCGGTAGGTTTAACGGGTACCTACTGGCCTTTTTAATGTCCCGGCTCACGTACACCCCGGGGCCCAGCATGCCATCAGTGGACTGTTTGAAGCCCTTCGCGATGATGGCTCTGGCCCCATCCTCGCTGGTGCCGTGGAACATGGTGTACACGTTGTCGTTCTGCGGGGTTGCGCCTCCTGCAAGCTGCATGTCTGTACGGTAGACCCTCTCGCGAAAGATCTACCGGCATAGAAAGCACGATCACACATTTATATAACTGTAAACAAGTCACGTGAAACGTATTTGTTTTAAAGTTCTCTATGACTTTAATGGTGATAATAACAATACACAGCTCTTTACCAAGACTGCTGGGATGAAGGCCTCATCACACTGTGTCCGCCCCCTCCTGTGAAAATTTCCTGACTTGTTTGGGAAGTTGGGATTGTGGTCTGGGATGTGACATTGGACTAATTTATTTGTTGTAATTACTTTTATGTTGTTTGTGCACATCTTAATTTGTGTATTCATTTGTGCACACATTAATTTGTTCATTGATGTTGGATTTTGCTTGGTAGTTAGGTTTTATTTGCTTGGTAATGGCTGTATATGAGATTTGGTCCTGATAGATAGCATTATTCATGCTATTAGCAGGCGCTGGCTTCCTTCCTCTGCTCTGGCGACGGTGTCAGGCCGGTGGTGGCCCACGACACGCGGGGTCGTCGAGCTTCACCTGGAGTCGGGGTGTTACAAATGTAGCCCAAAGCGGGTGGTAAACGCCATCTAAGGCTAAACGTGCTTCATTTTAAGGGTGTGAGTGTTTGGGAACGGTGTATAGGCTTAGGTGTGTCCAGATAGAGGGGTCCCGTTTCTGTAAGATATTGTGAGTGCACCCTGGTGTTCTAGAGATATGCTACTGCGTGAGAAGCTGGCAGGGTGGCTTATCTACAAGTAAACCCGTAAAACAAAGTTTTTCACTATAAATCCTTTATATGCGTGGCATCGGGACGGCTAGATTCCTCTCGTCCTCTGGCTTGAGATGGCTGCCACCTATGGGTCAGATGATTGTCTGGCAGCATTAAGCAATTGGTAATGAAAAAAAAAATTCCCCCTAAACAGTGTAAAATTTTGGAAAAATTTGATTCAGGAAAATTAATTGTCACGCACAACGAGTCTGTGTGCAAAATGTCAGCTCGATTGGATCACGGGAAGTGGGTTAAAAAACGACCGAAAGATTTGCACGGTCCTCAGCAAGCAAGTGAACTTAATATAAAGGATTTAAAAAATGAAGGCAGACCAAACCCTATTGGATTGTCTCAGATGCGCATGGTATTGATTGCTCTCGCTAGACTTGACGCACAATATACGCCGGAGTGACCTGGCTGACCGAAATTAGAATGGTGACGCCCATGAAGGTGAACCTGTGAACAGCAGACAAGAGCCAAAGCGCCGCCGCCACGTGCTCCGTCTTCCATAACTGCCCTCGGATTAAATATTCTGCTGTTTTCCAGTTACATCTCTCCAAAATATATCTCCATTTGGTTTGAGTAATTCTCTTCTTGACCACAGTTATTTTCTGTTTGCGAAACATAGACCCCCCCCCCCCCCTTTAAAGGAGCATCTGCACCAGTCTTAAACATTCATACATACGTGGTTTAACCCAGCTGGATTGTGTGAGGAGCTCACAGATCTTTAAAAGTTGTGGACACAGTCCCATCAGTGAGCTCCTTCGACAGGCTAGGCTGCGTTGGCTAGGTCCCGTAACCCGCATGCCCAGCCATCGTATGCCAAGCGGGCTAAATGCGCGCTGCATGGGTTAGAGAAGAGATAGGGTTGATGCAGTACAGAAACATGTGGAGCTGATTGGACTTGCTGATGACTCATATCAGCGGTGTCAATATCGGCCCACAACAATATTTTATCTACCGTGCGGATAAACAGTTTGAGGTCAGTCATTTCAGTCAATACATAATACCTGGGTTTGTCCCGTGAACTCCTGCAAGCAGGGATCCTTCGACACTTCATGCGGCCCTTAAAGTGAACCTCGCCAGGCATGCGCTGTGGTTATGTCTCTGCCACCTATTGGCCAATGGTGGCTGTTTGTTCTGGACATGCATTGAAGGAACGATGCCCGTTATCTTTGGGAACTTAGTTTGTTTCAATCTCGGTTTGTTTCAATCTCGGTTCTGTGTTTTTTACGGCTTTGTTTTCAGTTCAGCTTTTGGACCGCAACGTCATTTCCGAAAACGGTACCATTTTCGTTGGTTTCACTTGATTAATTTGGTTGTTATATTTGTTTACTCTTGCCCAATTTATTTAATTTTAATTATTGTTATGATATGGTGATAGCAACTGCAGTCAATTGTATACGTTATTTGGATACATTAAATGTTCATATTCTATATACAGGGCAATATAGAGCAACATGCAGATAGTTGCTATTCTAAATTGATTTAAAATCTGAAATTAATGACTGCAATATGTAAGTATGAACTTATTTCGCACCATACGTAAATTACAGTACAACTAATACAGGGAAATAAAGTAATTTTAGCTCTAGAAACAAATGGCAGTCACAATTTTCTGCATCGGTTTAACTTCATTTCTACTTAATAAACATCCAGTACGTGTTGGGTGACTTTTGAGGGGCACCGTGGTGGCGATGTTAACTACCTCGCCTGGTATACAGGAGGTCGTGGGTTCGATCCCGACCCTGACGCCTGCTGCTGTATATTTTGCGTTCGCGTGTCTTTTTCGTCCGTGGTCACCTGGGTTTTTCTCCAGCCCCTCCGGGTTTTCCCTCGTTCATAAACGTGCGTTTACAGCATTTGGCTGCTATAAATGGTCACCACGATAAACGACTTCGTTGGGTGGTATAATTTATGATAGCAAGGTCGTTTCTAGAAAAAAAGCTATAGAGCTCAGTGGGGCTTGCTTGGTTTAAAAAAAAACAATTGTTCTAATTTTTAGAGTGCTGTATTAAAGGGTTTAACATATACATTTTTTAATAAACACGTTTTTGTACCAACTTTGGCAAACGAATAGCAAAACACTCACCAGTTGGATGTAGTGGCTGCTTCAGCTATCAACGGACGCTTGTGCAGAGGAGAATATGAGGAAGCTGCTGCAGTTTCAGTGCTTGTATGCAGGGACCTGGCACGGAACGACATTAAACAGTACAACCAGAAGAGGGGAAAACAAGTATTTTTAGCGACGAGATAAATATGGCAGTCACAATATTCTGAACCTCATTTCTACTTCATAGACATTCAATGCTGTTTGGGTGACTGAGGGGCACCGCGAGTTCGATCCCGACCCTGACGCCTGCTGCTGTATATTTGGAGTTTGCGTGTCTCTCTCTCTCATCATCATCACGGTGGCTAGGAGATGTTAACTACCTCGCGTGGTATACAGGAGGTCGTGGGTTCGATCCCGACCCTGACGCCTGCTGTGTATTTGGAATTTGCGTGTCTCTCTCTCATCATCATCACGGTGACTAGGAGATGTTAACTTCCTCGCCTGCTAGACAGGAGGTCGTGGGTTCGATCCCGACCCTGACGCCTGCTGCTGTATATTTGGAGTTTGCGTGTCTCTCTCTCATCATCATCACGGTGGCTAGGAGATGTTTACTACCTCGCCTGCTAGACAGGAGGTCGTGGGTTCGATCCCGACCCTGACGCCTGCTGCTGTATATTTGGAGTTTGCGTGTCTCTCTCTCCGTGGTCGCGTGGATTTTTCTCCCGGCCCCTCCGGGTTTTCTCTACACATTTTAGAAACGCGAGTTTACAGTATTTGGCTGCTATAAATGTCCACGTGATAAGTCACTTCTTTTGGGCTATAAATATTATTCGTGGTCAGGTCGCGTCTGAAAACGAGCTATGTAGCTCAGGTGGCCTTGGTAAAACACAAACTATATTGTTAAATACACACGTTTTTACCAACTTCGAGACTTGAAAAGCAAAACACTCACCAGTTGGGATGTACTTGCTGCTTCAGCTGCTGACGGGCGCTTGTGCAGAGGAGGAAATGAGGAAGCTGGTGCACTTTCAGCACTCCTTATATGCCGGAAACCTTGCGAGGCGGGAGGGGATTGCTTGTAACGTCACGAAAAGCATCATTTCCACGCAGAAGCGTAACAAGCCTGGGAGGCGCAGGGAATTCCGGGAAATTCCGCAGAATTCCTTTTGAAAAGCCATTGTTGAAATTGGCTGTCTTTTTTTTTCCCATTGCATGTGTTGGCTACGCTCTGGTAAACGCAGCATGAATGTTACAAATATAAACACACAATATATATCCTTTATATATCTACTTTCACCGCGTATAATGTCGATAAAAAATCACCTTTTAACATTTACTGTTAAACTACGTTGCCTTCTGGGAGTGCACAATATCAGTTGAGACAGGATTGGGCCGGTGCTGCTTACTGTACATTGTGTACTGCCAAAAGTCCTTACAATGTATGGGAATTGTCAAGCGTACTTGTTTATGTGGAGGGACAGACATGCAAAGGAGACGTGGTGTTTGCTTATGTATTTTGTTAGTCATTCTCCACGACAACACTAATGATGATTTTTTGTTGTTGAGTTATGTGTGAAGTCACAACACGCATTTATCCCGGGATCATGCTCATAACATTAAACCGTGGGTGAAGTCCCTTTAAGTCCAATAGAAAAATGGAAGTTGGCCACGTTATTTTATTATTAGAGTGTTACCATATAAGCTGTACTTTTGACCTTTATTTTTAAACAAGTATGTTCATTATGTAAGGGAATGCAATGTGTTCTCCTTGGGTATGTGGGTCATCTCTGGCCAATATCTGGTTTCCTCCAAACACAATACTGAAAAATATATATATATATAACAGTGCCCACATATCTGATATAGTTGCCCCTCTGTGATTAAGTCTAGAGACTCGTTTGAGTTATTTCCTGTAGAAACAACGAATACGATTAACGGTGGTGTTGGACTTGCCGGCAGCACTAGACATGAACAAACCAAGCAAAAGGCCGAGAGGCCTCAAGAAGATCAGCGGTTCCAGCTTCGTGACCAACAACATTGTGGGTGCGTCAAAGATCAGCTTTAAATTCGCATCCCAATAAACACAACAAGCTAAATCACGAAACATTAACAATGATACGTCACGTACTAAAGTGGCGAGACTTTGCGCATGTTGTTGTTGTTGTCGTCGTCTGTTTTTCCGGTTGTAGTCCAGTCGTGCCGTAGGCGTCATGCCATGAGGAAAGCGACGATTGGCACTCGCGCAGTGTGAAGACACCTCGCGTGCGTCGAGAACGGGGAGGCATGTCCCTCCGGTGGCTCGACCAGTGAAAAACAATCTATCTGGTATTGATACTATTTGGTTCTTTCGGTAAAGTCACGTAGTTAGAAATAAAATAAAACAATTCTAGATTTGAATTCTAAAAATAAAACAAATCACGACGTTTCGATCGCAACACAAGCGGTCGTCATCAGGCAAAGGAGTCAGCCTCTAAAGGCAAACTGTTTATAAGGGTTTGGGGATGGGAGTAGCCCAAGTGTAACAACAACACCAGAAGGCACGGTCGGTGCACGAGTGCCAATGCAGAAACAATGCCAATGCAGCAACAATGCAACTGAAGCAACAACGTCAATGCAGCAACAATGCCATACGCTGGGGATGCGCGGGGAAATTAATTCGGAAAAATAGACTAGTAGTCGGCAGATATGATGGAACAACCATAAACAGTTAAGGTTTTACCTGGTTAATAACATCCTTCCAATGATTGCTCAATTTGTATCCATCTTCTCGATTGAAGTTATGTCTATGTTTATATATCTGGATGACTTCATGAACCAACCTAACCACTACACTACCACTCCCCTGCGACACAACAACAACAAGCGCCATTCGCCACTTGGTGGCGGTGACATCACCACGGCGCTTGTGCCAGGCTAGGTGCACGTTGAGGCCACGTGAAGTGTCGAACACCCACTGGCAGGAGGTCACGGGGCAGACTGACTTAGATGACTGGCTGATGCACCATCTGTGCCCCCTACCGTGCCAATTTGCTGTGCTTTAGCCACCCAGCGCTCCGCTCGTTGTTGTGAGCGTCGCTCCTCCGCCCTCCATTGTTGTTGGAGGGCGACTGCCTCCAACTGCCCAGTAGCAGCAGCGTCTTTCACAAGCCTCATCCACAGAGGCCGATCATGACACCGCTAGTACCAGTCATCGGCAAGTCCACTCAGCTCCACATCCTCCTGTACCAAATCACTCCATCTCTTTAGCCCCCCCCATCGGGCCGAACAAAAGCTGTTTAGGCATGCGGTGGCTGGGCATGCGGGCTACATAACCCAGCCAATGCAGCTTTGCCTGCCGGAGGAGCTCACGGATTGGACTTTGTCCAGATCTTTCAAGGATTTGTGAGCTCCTCACACAATCCAG